ATTTTCGCGTATAACTCGAAAACGGTCAATGTTATCAAAATTTTCAAAGAGTGATAATAGTTTCTAAAATAAATTTTCTATTAAAAAGTACAAAAATAAATGTAGGGTTACGAGCGAACAAAAAAGTTCTGAGCAAACAAATTTTAGGGACAGCCTGTATAGCATGGTTGCCGCCGCCCGATCAAAGTCAAAATTGATTCAATGATTCTGCTTGATATTTGTTTACCCTGTACCAAATTTCAACGCTCTACCATAAATGGTATTAAAAATATTTAGAAAAATGTCTTAAAATTTCTGAACTTTGATGGCCCATATTTTGGCCATTTGAAGACTTATAATAATTTTTTTTTCACGAATCGTCATCATTTTTGCTCTAGTATATGAGGTTAATTTTATGCCCCGAGTCACCGGAACACCCTGTATACACCATATTTTTAACATTGTTTCAAAGATTGAGCATTTTTTACAGCTTCGAAAATTTTTTCATTATCTTTTATAATTTGTTCTGACTGTTGATTCCGATAGATTAATTAAACTTCTCTGCCAATTCAAAAATTTTCATTTTTGATCGAACTCTTTGATAATATTAAGTTTATATTCATCTATTTTTAGTTATGATTTTTAGAAAACAATGGATCATAAATAATGTAAAATTCCGTATAACACTTTAATATAAGATATTTTTTTAATAAGATTTATTTCTAGAATAGTTTGATTAAAAAAATCGAGTTCATCATTTTTAAAATAAACCAATTTATCAAAACCGTCTCGTAATTAATCAAATTGCAATCCGTAAAACGTATCAATAATGGTTTATTTTTCTCTTGAGTTATTTAGAACACGCTTTGACCCTTAACTCCATTTCTCTGACGACGTTTTATTGGGTCGAAACAGATAATCTGCGATGTTGACCTTTAATTTCTAAGAAATATACACAAAAAAACAATTGAGAAGAGAAAATTTAGGTAAAGTTTTCGAAAATGTTGCAAAAAAATTATAAGCTAAATCGTTTTAATTAAATAAAATTCTTATTGTTATTATTTTTTTTGATTTAATTGTAATAATTTTTATGAAATTTTTTTGTAATGTGGTGGGAGACGTGATAATTTCTCGATTCTCAACCGAGTATATAAATCGAAGATGAAGAGCGGAATTGGTTAGTTGCGAAAAAAGTTTGAATGAAAAAGTGTTATATTAAGTGTTAATTTTTTGGGTGAGTTTAAATTTTTTTTGATAATTATCATAATTACATCATATTTTAAAATTAAATTTTTAATCCTTAAAGTTCAAAAGCCATTTTTTTTTGTAGATTAAAACCACCAAAAACAGAATGAAAACGCTATTATTATTAACAATTTTTGGAATATCTCTTTCGTTGCAAGAAGGATATTACCATAAACAATACGAATACAAATCATCAAAATCTTCGTATAAAAACAACGAACTCCAACATAAAGCGGACGACGAAGAATTTTCTTCGGTCCATGGAGATTTATCGGGGAGAAATGATCCCAAAGTAAACGCTTATTCTCAACATACCGAGTATAGAAATCCAAATTCACAAGAACCGATTGAGTCGGGATTTGGGGGGAGCCAATTTTCTTCTGGGTCTAGCGGTCGCTATCAGAATCAAAATTTGGGTTATGGTACAAATCCGGATGATGTAACAGGGTCTATATCGGGGCAAAGAAAACATATTTCTTACTCGGGAACTTACACGGTTTCTGGGGGACAAAATCAATTGCAAGGAGGAAATTATGACACTCAATCGAATCTTTTAGATTTAACTCAAAAACTTCAAAACAGTTTATCTAGTCAATTATCGAGAGCGATTTCCGAACAAAGAAGATCCGGTTATGATCAACATTCAACGTCATTTTCAAGCGTTGGAGTTGAAAATGAAATAAGAAGCTTAGAGGACGAATTAAGAGCGAATTTAACAAGGAGTTTACAAGAAGAATTGAACGCCCAATATGGAAGTCAAACCCAAAGAGGTTCTTATTCTTACTCTGGGTCTCAAATGAAACCAAATTATAATACTCAAGAATTAGAGGATTTAACGCAACAGGTTCGAACGAATCTTTTGGATCAATTAAAACGGGAATATAAAACAAGTTCGTCTTCATCATCATCATCAACAAAATCATCTTATAGCTCAAGTGGAAGTCATTCTTTCGGAAACAGTTACAATCAACCCATTTACTCCCAACCTAACTATCCGAGGTATCCTTCTCAAGATGTATCTTCATCAAGTGATTATTCCTCGAGAGCACACACAACTATGTACACAAAACCATCAATTCCAACAATTCGCCCAAGTCAGCAATTAGTTGATGTAACAAGCAACGCTCAAAATGAATTAGATATGATTTTAAATCGAGCTTTAACACTCTTAAAAACTAAATACATGAATGATGACACATACAAAAGTTATTATCAACCAGATTACACCGTCATCTTGAATGATTTAACCCACGAATTAAAACAAAATATTTCAATGGAAATCCAAAACGCTTTAAGAAACGCTTACGGGTTGCAAGAAGAAAAAAATGGTTACTATTTTAGCACTTGGAACGTTAACGCGAATATTGCGAATTATAAAGCTGAAGATTTAGACAACTTAAAACGACAAGTCGAAAAAAATTTATTGGATAAATTAACACGGGAGGTTCGCAATCAAGAAACGACTTATTCCCAGAAAAGGACTCAATACGAAACTAGAACAAGAAGTCAAAGTCAAACGGCGAATTCTTGGGGAACTTATCCGAGTGATAATAATAATCAATATTCAAGTCAACATTCAAGTCAAAGTCAATATTCAAGCAGTTCTACTTATGGAATTAATCGGTATCCAAGCCAAAATAAGCCAAATCAAGAAACTGACGATGTTAATTATCACAATATAAATAGATATCCAAGTAATCCGACGGGAAGTTATCCAAAAACAAATTTTGATCAACAACAAGTTGAAGAAATTGATTTTAATAAACCAAATACTCAACGACCTGGGTATATATATCCAAATAGTGATTCTCTTCCCCGAAATTCTTATCCTAATAATTATCAGTCGGGTTCGTATCCATCAAATACAAATCCATCAAGTACTTATCCATTAGGCTCTTATCCATCAAATCAACATCCATCGAATACTTATCCATCAAGTTCTTATCCATCAACATCAAATACCTACTCTTCATCGCAATCCAATCGTGAATCAACTTACCAACAAGTTTCCAGACCTCAAATGGAGTCGTCTTCTCAACTTTCCTCATCCGAAATTTCGAGAATTGATGAAGAATTAAGGAGTGATTTAACTAACCAACTTCAAATTTTGTCTCAAAAACAACGTGATCAAGAAAAATATGGCTCATCTCACACCGTTGATTTAACGGAAGAGTTCAAACAAAACTTTTCAAGGCGAGTAGAACAAGTTTTGAGGGAGCACGGAATCAATGGGGGTTACTCATTTACGATCTATTCAAGTGGAGGTTCCGGCGGACGAATTAGCGAGGAAATGCTTCGTTTATTAATGAACGATTTATTGCGACAACTCCGGGAACAATTAATCGCTTCTTCAACCAAGTCAAAAACTTATACTTCGAATGCAAAAATTACTTTTAACCCGACTTATACGTATCCGTCCGGGTATGGAGTACAAGGTGGAAGTTATAATAATTATCAGATGAAGAGTGGTTATCGGGAGGTTGATTACCAGCAAACTGAAGATTGTATGCAAAGTGACGAAGCCACATCGACACCCAAAAATATTAAACCACCAAAAGTTCGAGGTGATATGTCACCGGATCTTGAAGTTGCACCTTTGGAAAATACACCAACCGATAAACCAAAAGCTCGAGATGTTGTTACGAGTAGAACAACCCCAAAAACTCCATCAAATGATTTAAATCAACAAACACAAAAATTGGAACAATTAAACCAAGATATTTCAAAACAATTAGCTGGTTTGACCCAACAAAATCAAGATTTTCGTCATTTTGATCAACAAACTCAAGATTTAAATCAACAAACCCAAGATTTAACTCAACAAACCGAAGATTTAACTCAACAACTGGAAAATATAAATAAACAAACTTATTTTAAACCTCAACATGCTGATTTAATTCAACAAACGGAAGATTTAACTCAACAAACTGAAGATTTAACTCAACAACTTGAAAAAGTAAATAAACAAACTTATCTTAAACCTCAACATGCTGATTTAAATCAACAAACTGAAGATTTTCGCCATTTTGATCAACAAACTTCTGATTTAACTCAAAAAACTGAAGATTTATCACAGCATTCATATACACCATTAAATTCTGGGTTAATTCAACAAACGGAAGATTTTCCCAAACAAACCCAAATTGCTCAAGTTGAAGAGGTTTTTTCTAAGCCAGAAGAAAAAATTGAAGAAACGACCACGCAACAACCCGGATTTTGGAAAAAATTGGGTGGAAAGATAACTGGTGGATTTAATACGGTGAAAGACAAGGTTCAATCGATAGGTTAAGATTTTTTTAAGACTTTTAGTTTTGTATTTAATTTTGTAACGCAATAAATTGAATGATTTTTTTTTTATAATTGTTGTTTTACCTCTGGCAAATTTCTGTAAAATCTTACAAAACCTTGTTGTTGGGATGGATCTGAAAGAAACGCAAAAAAAGTTAGGTTAGGATAGAATTTCCCAGAGAATATTTTAAATAAGGAAGTAACGATTTATTTTTACCCATGTTTAACGCTTGTAGCGGTTCTACGTTCGTCATTTTTGGAATTTGCACTGCAACAATCGATAATAACTTAAAAAAATCGTCGAAATTTAACGATTAAATTAAATAAATGTCAAAATAACCGGTAAAATTCAAGTCGATAATGTAGTAATCGCACAGAACAGTAGTACAGTAATCGTTAATTAGAGTAAAATTTCAAATTTAAATTATAATATATAAATAAACAATTATTGTAGTTAACTACAATTAAATTTTAATGTAAATTTATGTTTATTATTTAAATTTAAATTATTACAATTTACTATTTTATCAACATCAAAAATCAATTGACGTCTAAACATAACCTCAAAACACAGATTACCAGATGCTTAAAGATGCTTAACTTCAAGGTCTATAGAACATAAGGTTACCCACCTGAGTCGCCGGAGTCCGGCCTCTGTATACTCTGTGCCCCAAAATAATAAAAATAAATATGTGTACTTATTACATTTTAGTAAGTTAATAAAATAGATTTTGTAATTTATTTGTTTATTGTTGTTATATATTTCAGATATCTCATTTATTAAAGTCTTGATTCGCTTTATTACAAATATGGATAAACAACCAGATTACAACCACTCTAAACAATATTACAACCCTAACGGCTCTTATATTCCAATGCCAGATTTTTCAGTTCCACCCCCAAATTATAACATTGTTAATAATTATGCTTATCCCCCTCAAATGAACAATTATGGCCCAACATACAATTATAATTATATAAATTATAATAATTCTTATTACCAATATGGTTATCCGTCTCAACCTCAAACTATTCCAACCCAAACAGGTTTAGGACAAGATTATGATTATACAAAAGAATTGGAGAGTTACAAAAACAGTAAAATTAAAGATAACATAACGGAAAAGCGTGATAAATACAAATATTATGATAAAAACTATGACAAAGATACACCGAGTTGTTCTAGAAGTTCAAGAAATAAATATAAATCTCGTTCACCATCTCCAACGCGGAGACGAAGTCGAAAACCACGTTCAAGGTCTTTATCACCTCGAAGACATATTGATTCTCGAAGTAACTCAAAAGAATCAACTCGATCACGTAGCTCTTTAAAAAATGATACTACAAAAACTGAAAGGGAATTATTACTATCAAAATGGCGTAAAAATTATTGTGCGACTCCCGAAGAAGTCTCTAAAAAGCTTGGTGAGTTAGATCAAAGTAATCAAGAAGATGTTTTGGAAAAGGAACGAAATATTTGGACTCGAACAACTCCGGCTGATCTTTATTATCAACGGGATGAGGCCAATCCAAAAGTTATTAGAGGAACGGAAAAATTGTTAAAAATTTGTGAAAGGTTTAATGAAGAATTAGTTTTGAGGGCGAAAAAAATTAATGATACAAAACCGGAATATGTTCCACCACCTAGGAAGAATCGGGCGAGAGTTTGTAAACATAAAAGTGAGCAATCGAGTAGTTCGGATAGTTCAGAGGAGGATTTAACGGATGAGGAAGATTGTACTATGGAGGAATTAACAAGAAAACAACAACATCCCGATCGGTTACATATGGAAATGTGGTATAATGATCCGGGGGAAATGAATGATGGACCACTTTGTAGGTATGTTCTGTTAAATTTTGTTTATCAAGTTAGTTGATATAAAAATATTTAATGTGACAATGCAATAAACAAATTTGTAATAACATAAAATATAACATAAAAAGGTTCTTCCTCTTGTACAAGCTTTAACAAGCTCTCTGAGCATAAATAATTACAACAAGTTCAACTTTAATTATTAATTTTATATATATATACAGGGTGTTTCGGTGACTCGGGGAACAAATTTAACCACATATACTAGAGTGAAAATGATGACGATTCATGTAAAAAAAATTAGTAAAAGTCCTAAAATTTCGAAGATACGGGCCATCAAAGTTATGAAATTTTAACACATTTTTCTAAATATCTTAAACACTATTTATGGTAATGTGCTGAAATTTGGTACAGTATAAACTAATATCACGTAAAACCATTGGGCAATTTATAAGTTGGATCGGTCCGCGGGAACAATGCTATACAGAATGTTCCTAAAATTTGTTTGCTCAGAACTTTTTTATTCGATCGTAACCCTACATTTATTTTTACAGTTTCTAATAGAAAATTTATTTTAGAAACTTTTATTACTCTTAGATAATATTGATAAAAATCACCGTTTTCGTGTTAAATGCAAAAATGTTAGGTTCCGATTTCAATAACAGTAAAAAAAAAATCTAAGTCTGCCATGACAAGTGAAAATCGAACTGAGCCGTCATAAATATTATGTATGTAACATTTCCAAGTGTAGATTAGGTAAATCCCTTTTTAATTTGTTTTAGTTGATTTAATAAAACATAATACAAAACAATAAATTTAATTTTAACGACAACGCTAACAGGAAAAATAAAACAAATACATAAAATAAGACAAGTAATAAAAAATACTATAGGAAATGTTCAAAAAGACCTCCGTTAGCATCAATACATGCCTGATATCGTCGCCTTAAATTAAATCGTACTCTAGGCAGTACATTTATCTGAGCTGATCGACTGATCTAATTTCAACGCTGTAGACCAATGATTTAACTCGCCCCCATAAATAAAAGTCCATAGGTGTAAGGTCTGGTGACCGGGCCGCCGGCCAAGTTATCAATGCTTCCGCTCCTCATCCGATCCACCGTCCCGGGAAACGGTTCCCTAGAAATTCCTTCACTGCATTTGTGCTGTGCGCAGGGGCACCACCATATAAATACCACATGTCCCTTCTGGTATTTAACGGAACGTCACCTAAGAACTCGTCCAATCCTTCCAAATGTTGGTGGTATGTAGGGCCATCAAGTCTTGACGGCAAGAAAACGGGACCAACAATGACATCCCCCACAATCCCATCCCAAACATTGAGAGAAAATCTCCATTGAGATTTCCAAGTTTTGAAAAATTTTGGATTTTCTTCAGCCCAACTATGTAAATTCCTTAAATTAATTATTCCATCTTTGGAAAAAGTAGATTCATCGGTGAAAAGTATTTTTTCTAAAAACTGATTATCAATTTGTATTTTCTGGCAATATTCCAATCTAATTGGATAATCGGTAAGCTGTACTTCCTGACTTCCCTACAGCAGTGAAATGGATAAAGCTGCTGCTCTCGAAGAATACGCCACACAGTCGTTTTTGACGTAACAAATCGCCTAGCCATGTCCGAAGTACTAGTGGTACCATTTTCTTCTGCATGTTCTAAAATTAACTCTTCCAAATGAGGAGTTCGAACAGATCTAGGGTTGCCGTTGTTCAGAAAGATATGTTTTAGTGATGCATTTTCTTTTAATCGGGCTTCAATTCGAGGAAACGTTTTTCTGTTGGGGGTTCTACGATTCGGGAATTTTTGCCGATAACGGTTAGCGGCTTCTACGGAATTTCCAAGACATTCACCCAATGTTAAAAGCATATCGGTTTGTTCTCCAAACGTGTAATTTTCCATTTCGAACACTACAAGGTTTTTAGTATTTGTTTAAACGACTAAGCGTGTTTACAACTGTCAATGAATTCGTTTGTTAATTGTCATGGCAGACTTAGACTTTTTTTTTAGTGTTGTTGAAATGGGAGCCTACCATTTTTGCATTTAACACGAAAACGGTGATTTTTATCAATATTATCTAAGAGTGATAAAAGCTTCTAAAATAAATTTTCTATTAGAAACTGCAAAAATAAATGTAGGGTTACGATCGAACAAAAAAGTTCTGAGCAAACAAATTTTAGGGACTCCCTGTATAGCATGGTTGCCGCCGCCCGATCAAAGTCAAAATTGGTTCAATGATTTTGCTTGATATTTGTTTACCCTGTACCAAATTTCAACGCTCTACCATAAATGGTATTGAAAATATTTAGAAAAATGTGTTAAAATTTTTGAACTTTGATGGCCCATATCTTGGCCATTTGAAGACTTTTATAATAAATTTTTTTCACCAATCGTCATCATTTTTGCTCTAGTATATGAGGTTAATTTTATTCCCCGAGTCACCGGAACACCCTGTATATACAGGGTGATTCACATAAGAACCGACACAGAACAGGCACATATAGAGGACAATAAATTAAGATGATTTAAAGTAACTTATCTCTATACTAAGTTGTACACCTGAGGAGTTATAGGCCTTCAAAGTTGGGTCTTAAATTTTTAAAACATTGAATATCTTTGTAATACCTTAAGTTAGAAAAACCAAATTTGCCCTTTCAATTGAGGCATTTGAAAGGGTTGATTACGGGTGATGGTCCCCTAAATTTTGACAGATATTTTTAACCTTTTGGTGGATTTAACACATAATTACCTGATTCCATGTGGAATTTAATTCTAAAACTTTTTTCTACTCTTATTATTTTTTAAAAAACATTGTCGTTTTCATAAAAAACTCAAATAACTAAAGACACTAATTTCGTTAATGCTACTTAAAATCATCTAAAATTCAGTAGTCGGCTGTGAAATTGTACGTCAAACTTGACAAATAGGTTATAAAACCTTGTCGTCAAATAACTTTATAACCTATTTGTCAAGTTTGACGTACAATTTCATAGCCGACTACTGAATTTTCGCTTATTTTTACGAAATACGTGGGTTTAATTATTTAAGTTTTCTATGAAAACGACAAAGTTTTTTAAAAAATAATAAGAGTAAGAAAAGTTTTAGAATTAAATTTCACATGAAATGAAGTAGTAATGTATTAAATCCGCCAAAAGATAAAAAAAATCTGTCAAAATTTAGTATACCATCACCTTTAATCAACCCTTTGAAATGCTTCAATTGAGTTCAATTTGCTACCAATTAATACCCTTGGTACACTCATAACGTATACCAAATTTGGTTTCTTTAGCTTAATGTATTACGAAGATATTGAACTTTTTAAAAATTTAAGAGCCAACTTTGAAAACCTATAACTTAGTATAGAGGTAAGTTACGTTAAATCATCTTAATTTATTGTCCTCTATATGTCCCTGCTCTGTGTCGGTTCTTATGTGAATCACCCTGTATATACAGGATAATTCAAATTCGACCCCCACCATTGGGATCTCAGAAACCATAAGAGATACAGAAATGGTTAAATGAGGGCAAAGTGGCGTATCTTAGGCTCATCATTTTTCAACTAAGTTTTTGGATGTAGTCGTTTTAGTTTTTAAAATATGGCCGAAAAACAAAAAATGATTCTTTATTTTTCGTTATTTTGTGAATCTGAAAAAACATTCTTAAGGCAACTTTTTATGAAAAATGTCATGACAACAAGAAATTTTCTCCGACTTTTCGTTTTCGTGAAACTATCATCAGGTTTATTTATTTTTTTATGAAAGCCATGTTTGATTTTCACTCAAAAAAATAGGATAATTAATTCTAATTTAAATGATATGTCACACAATGTATTTCATTTAAAAAAACATTGAATTATTCAAAAAAAAGAATAAACCTGATGATAGTTTTACGAAAACAAAACATCGGTGAAAATTTCTAGTTATGTTATGACATTTTTCATAAAAAGTTACCTTAGGAATGTTTTTTCAGATTCTTAAAAAAAACGAAAAATGAAGGAGTTAAGGGTAAAAAAAGAAAAAGTCATTTTTTTGATTTTCAGCCATATTTTAAAAACTAAAACGGCTAGATCCAAAAACTTTGTTGAAAAATGATGAGCTCTAAGATACGCAACCAATTCTGTATCTCTTGTGGTTTCTGAGATCCCAATGGTGGGAGTCGAATTTGAATTATCCTGTATATATGTATATACTGGAAATTGCGTCTATATATAGTTTATATAAAAAGTTCGGTCCAAAATTGCTTCCTAAGGGCGCTAGAGCCCTATAAAGTTGGCACTCAAAAAGTACTTTTTGAGCGTTATCTCAAAAACGGCATTTTTTTTCTAAATATCGTAGTAGGCTTCTTTCACATTACAGTTTTTACTGTCAAACGATAAATAAAAAGCACTAAAATAGTAATTTTTGAATTCAAATTGCTATTAAAACTTTCAAAATGGTTGAATATTCATTAGAAGAGTATAGCAATATCCATTTTATGTATGCTAAGACCGATGGAAATGCTCAAGAAGTTGTATCCGAACATACAACTTCCTTGTGAACAAACTTTCTCGTCAGTTCATAGAAGACTGTTCGAGAGAGGATCTTTTAAAACTAGTCGGTTGAATTTTGGAAGATGATGCTCCACCAGAACCGCAGATATTGAAGAGACGATATTGGATGCAGTAGACGAAAATCCCTTGGCTAGCACCAGAAAACGTGAAACGCACCAAAATGTGCCATTTCGGAAACACTGCGGGAACAGCTACTGCATCCATATCACCTCCAAAAAGTGCATGCTTTAAAACATATGGATATGGAACAACAAGTAAATTTTTGTGAGTGGATTGTGGAGCAATGGGAGCAAGACCGAAACTTTTTGGACAGAATTTTATTTACGGATGAAGCTGAGTTTATTCAGTATGGCGTCATAAATTTCTACAACAGGCACGTTTGGGCGGATAAAAATCCACATGCTATTATGATGAGAAACCACTATGAAATGTGTGGGGCTGGGACTGATATATCATAAATACAAACCTGAATTCAATGAGATTTTACTTTTAGGAGTTATGATACCAATTCCACCGCCTTGCCCACAAGCGAATTCGGCGGTATTGATGAAATCGTTCACTTGATGTCTTGGAAAGTAAACTAACAATAAGTACTCAATACTTGTATGAGAAATCGTTTATCCTCACTTCGCCGAGGTCGCTTGCGGGCGAAGCGCTGAGTCAGATACTTTATGATCACAAACCTTAATTCAATAAGATTTTGTATTTAGGAGCCATCGCCTCCCCTGCAAGCGATCTTGGCTATATTAGGTAAAATCGTTCCCTTGATGTCTTAGAAAATAAACTAAACGTCACTCGCCCGTCATGGAGTTTTCTATTAATAATAATAATAATAGTAATAATGCCTTTATTAACCCTTACAATTAGTGTACAAGTATAAAAAAAACAAAATACAAAAACGTAATAATAATAAGAAATAAGTATAATGTTACAAAAACAAAATTACAACAAAATTGCAAAGGCTAACAGGTGGCTGGGTCAGACAACACCACAAAGTAGTGAGGTCTGCTCTTCCCCCAGTCCCCAGAACACAACATATTGCTTCTAAGTAAGTAAGTAGTGAAAATGAATACAGCGCACAAGACAAAAAATACAAAAAACAAAAACTGAATGCATGAATAAAGCAAATAACAAATAAAAATTAAAATTTTACTCTAGAAAACCTAAATTGATTCCATCTGCCGCTCACAGAGATATCGCTTGTATTTATATTTAAAACTCGACAGGTTCAATATTTTTAATGAACGAGGAAGGGTATTCCAAAAGTTTGTCACACAATAAGTGAAAGAATTCCGAAATGAAGCCGACGCGTAACGAGGAACTGTAAGTGCATCTTTTCGACGAATATTGATATTGTGGATGTCAGTACGATACGATATCTTCTTGCTCAGATAAACAGGTGTGGGTTGGAATCATTGAAGACCATTTGATCGGGCTGCACGTATTTAACAGTCGCGTCAATGGTGCAACTTACCGCGATTTTCTAGAAAACATCCTGTTTGAGTTACTAGAGGATGTGTCATACCAAACACGGAGAAGAATGTGGTACATGCATGATGGGGCTCCTCCTCATTTCAGCATTTAAATTCGTCAATATTTGGATGAAACTTTTCCAGAAAAGTGGATAGCCTTCTCGTGCGTCAGTCTTGATTTTTTTCTTTCGTTAGTATACGCCACACCAGTTAATACAATTGAGGAGCTAGAATTATGCGTAAGGAATGAATGTGACATCATTAGACGAGTTAGAAGTTGTATTGAAATGAATAGTGGTATTTTCGAACATTTATTATAATAGTTTTATTTTATGTATTTTTGTTGTACGTTTTTTGATAAATTATTATTTGTTCGATAAGTTTAATAAATTTTTGTGCAATATAATTTATCGAACATTCTTAGTATTCTGTAGACTTTATTTCTAACGTTAAAACTATGTACAATTAAAAAACACAACAAATATTGAGGAAAATGAGTATTTATAAAGAATTTGTCGTTCTGCATATGGTTATGAACATATTGAGTATTTCAGACTGCTACCCCATACATTAAATGAATATTTGTATACCTGTTATGTTGGACTCCATAAATTATTTATTTCTTTTCTTTTGATTATCGTATTTGTCACGTAAAAATATCTCTGTACACCAAATTTTGAAACCTTGCCGTTTTTTGAGTGCCATCTTTAAAGGGCTCTAGCGCCCTTAGGAACCATTTTCGGATCGAACTTTATATAAACTTTTGTTCATGATTTTTCATGTAGAATCATCTCTTTAAATAGATACACGCAATTTCCGGACAACCTGTATACATCAAAATATTTTATAGATGCTCCAAGAAATCTAGAAAATCTGGAATACGACATGGAATATATCCAGGAGAAAGATTCGTACAACTTTGCGATAAAGACACCAATAATGGAGATAAATTACATCATTATCGGATAACAATTTCCCCACCAACAAATTTTTTAATTAAAACACCCACAATTATTCAGCACGACGAACACGAATTTATTTTTGAGGGTTTCTCGATGTTTTCGCATTTCCCTTTGATTGAATTACCAACTTGTAAAGTTATCCGGTTTAATATTGAGTACACAATACTTTACGTCGAAGAAAAAGTTCCCGATAATTTCACAATAAGAGAATTAGATATATTTCGTAAGAATTTATCTTATTTTTAATTTCGTTTTCAAATTAATTATTATTTTTAGATGATTATTTATTTCACGAATTACTTGAATTGGTCGATTTAGATTTTAAAGTCGCCGGTGATGATAAAGGTTGTTCTCAATTTCACTTTTTGCCAAGATTTGTCCGTGAACTTCCCGATAATGGAAAAGAAATACTTTCGATGAAGGAAGTGTTGCAATATTTATTAAACAGCTCGATTCCATTGATTAAATCGGAACAATTAGAGGAGATGGTTAATATGACGCAATATGATTGGCAATCTTATGCGGATGAAATAAAAGTGATCTTTAAAATATATTTTTTAATAAATGAAGGTAAAAATCATGTTTTTTTTAGGGTATGGTTGTAACTTTTCCTGGTAAAAAACCTTGTTCGGTGCGAGTCGATCAATTAGATCGGAATATTGATCTCCAAAAACCAGGGAATTATAAATTCCCTGAGATTGTTCATTTCGGAATTCGTCCACCTCAATTAAGTTACGCCGGAAATCCAGAGTATGTTTAATTTTATTCAAAATTCATAAATATTAAACATAGAAGTTATAGTCTATTTTTTAATTCGGGGGAGTAAAATGAAAAGTCACGTTTATACAGTTTTAAAATCAGAGAGGATTTTAAGTAAACTGTAGTTACCCAGATATGCCTAAATTAAAACCACTTTACAAATCATAATAACTTTATTGAAAACTTATTTAAAGAAGCAAAACAAAGTCTTACAAACAAACCATGACAATTTGTTTTTTTTTTAAATTGGAAATTCGGGCCGTCCTACATGTAGGACATTCGGCACATGAATATCTATAAACGTAAAATTATTTATTAGTGTGATACTGAACAAAACACTTCGTGTGTACACCAATGTCACATTTTGCGCATCTCGTTGTAGTTTTTTGATGGCAATGAGCACACCTAGTTTGTTTTTCTTGGGGCATAACTAAATGATCTATTCGGTCGAACCGTATATCTATTTCGTGGGACCTACTGGTATGTCCTTTTTGATATGACGATGTTTTTTTATTCTGAACCAACAGCATTACAGAAATTCTCCTTCTAAAACTAAGTTGATCTAATTCTCCTCCAGCGCCTGGAGAGCGGCTTGACTGTCTGAGAAGATTCGTACTATCATGTTCTTCACCCGTCTTTCAAGAAGGATTTTAGCACCCATGTTAATAGCAAATACTTCCGAATACAGTACAGTACGTACCCAGGCTGTAGGCTTGCTTAATTCGAGGTGTCTGGCAGTATACTCCTGCTCCTACCCCTTCAGGCGTTTTTGATCCATCTGTGTACAAGCAAATGTCTGCCCGAACCAGAGAATTTTCATTTTCGATCCAGGACTGCCGCTCAGGCAGTACAATCTGGTATCGAGCATTAATCACTGATAGTGATACCGCCAAATCTGACGGCATTGATAGCACAGTATCAGTGCTTATAATGTCTTCCGCAGCCCATTGGTAGGACATGTCGGAACAGTTTTGAGCATATTGCTTAAATCTGTAAATGGTTGTTCTAGCCACTTTCTCTATATGCAAATGCAGAGGAGATAGGCCAAGCAGAACCTCCATTGCTAGAGTTGGCGTTGTGCCTATCGCACCAGAGATTGCCAATCCAGCTACTCGTTGAATTCGTGAAAGTTTACTGATAACTGAAGTCTGTCGGACTTTCCTATACCAGGCTGCTGCTCCGTATGTGATCATAGGTCTAACCACAGTCACATAGAGCCAGTACAGTCTTTCAGNACTTATATTTGTAGAGGCTCCTTGATAAGGTTCGAACCAATTCAAGTAACCTAACCTGGTACTTCCTACCCATAACTTATATCCATAGCGCATGGGTTTTCCTCGAATATACTGCTTACAGCTATGACGTCCATAATACGGAACCATAGCTTCATCAACTGAGTGCATTTCTTCAAGCGAGGAATTCTCCATGAATTTTTTATTCAACAGTGTGAAAAGCGGCCTTAGTTTAGCGAATTTGTCACCCTGGTCCAACTGCTGATTATCACAGACGTGAAGATTAGAAAACAAATAGTCAAACCGGTCCCTTGTAATTGCTTCTGTAATCATAACGTTATGGCAATCTTTTTCACGTTCCCAGAACATCCTCCGTCTCGGTACTTGCATATATCCACTAAGTATCAAAACGCCTATAAAAGCGTTTACTTCCTGCTTTTCTATATTCGCTTTTCTATTTTTTTGTTGTGCGTACTTATTACTCTGATTCAAAATCAATTCTATTACTTCTTCGTCAAAAAATTTTGAGAAAAGCTCTAAGGGGTTTTCTGTGATCGCCGAATTCGTAGGACTATCAAAGTCGGTGGGCGGTAATTTCAAATCTTCTTTTATCCAACTGTAGTGCATCTGTCTCTTTTTAGTTTTTACTTTTTGTTTGTTTCTTGCTGCCGTGTTTTGTGATTGTAACTCTGATAGAGGTATATTGTCATCTGATGAAAAATCACTGTCGTAGTTACTTTCAATTACGATTTCCACCGGCGCTTGTAACTGTGATGCCGGTAGGTTATTCACTGTAAAATCATTTTCTGCTCCAGAATCTTCATCTGCGGCTGCAGTGTTTACAGGAGGAAATATAATTATTTCATCAACCTGGCTGACAATGTCGTCATTGTCCTCAAGCATAGCAAGGGCTTCATGAAGCGAAAACCTTTCGGATGCACTTAAAACAAAATCTAAAGAAAACACCTAAACTGCAAGTTATCACTCTCACTGCTACATATAAAATGTACGACTTCATGTGACGTGCGCATTTCCAGGCGCTCATGACCTTGCAAGTTTCAACAGGAATTGACCGTCCTAAATGTAGTACATTAGGCATATCTGGGTTAATTACTTATTTGTTTAAGCAATAAAAACTATGGCGGACCTACTTACTTTGTCTCACATAAAATACAACATAACAATAATTAATAATGTCAAATTATATTATAATTAGACTAACATAATAGAACTAACACTAGAACTAGAAACATTTGGGTTTATCTGTACGTCTCTTAAGACGGCTTAACCCAAACGATTTTAGTTCTTGGTCTAGCGCTGCATAACAATTAAAACTAGAACTAACACTAGATCTAGAACTAGAAAGTTTTCGAATGTTTTTAATTGTCGGTCTAGTGTTAGTTCTAGTCTTGAGATACGTCCAGCTAAACCTGAATGTTTCTAGTTCTCGGTCTAGTGTTAGTTCTAACTTTACACTTGCACTATCACTAGAACTAACACAAAACCTTGTGACCTAGTGATAGTGCTAATGTAAAACTAGAACTAGAATCATTCGGGTTTAGCCGTTTTGAGAAACGTACGACTAAACCCGAATGATTCTAGTTCTTGGTCCAGCGCTACAGAACTTTAGTGGTTTAGTAGTAGGTCTAGTGTTAGTTCTAGTTTTACACTAGCACTAGAACTAACATTAGAACTAGAATCGTTCGGGTTTAGCCGTCTTGAGAGACGTGCGGCTATAGCCGAATGTTTCTAGTTCTCGGTCTAGTGTTACTTCTAGGTTTACACTAACACTAGAACTAACACAAAACCTAGCATTAGAATCATTCGGATTTAGCCGTCTTAACAGACGTGCGGCTAATTCCGAATGTTTCTAGTTCCCGGTCTAGTGTTAGTTCTAACTTTACACTTGCACTATCACTAGAACTAACACAAAACCTTGTGACCTAGTGATAGTGCTACTGTAAAACTAGAACTAGAATCATTCGGGTTTAGCCGTTTTGAGAAACGTACGACTAAACCCGAATGATTCTAGTTCTTGGTCCAGCGCTACAGAACTTTAGTGGTTTAGTAGTAGGTCTAGTGTTAGTTCTAGTTTTACGCTAGCACTATCACTAGAACTAACACAAGACCTAGAACTACAATCATTCAGGTTTAGCCACACGTCTCTCAAGACGGCTAAACCCGAATGATTGTAGTTCTAGGTTTACACTAGCACTAGAACTAACATTAGAACTAGAATCGTTCGGGTTTAGCCGTCTTGAGAGACGTGCGGCTATAGCCGAATGTTTCTAGTTCTCGGTCTAGTGTTACTTCTAGGTTTACACTAACACTAGAACTAACACAAAACCTAGCATTAGAATCATTCGGATTTAGCCGTCTTAACAGACATGCGGCTAATTCCGAATGTTTCTAGTTCTCGGTCTAGTGTTAGTTCTAGTTTTACAGTAGCACTATCACTAGTGTTAGTTCTAGTTTTACACTAGCACTATCACTAGAACTAACACAAGACCTAGAACTAGAATCATTCGGGTTTAGCCATACTGAATTTTCCTAGTGTAATTTTTGCTTAACACTGACCAATAGCAACCCTTCTTTTTGACGCTTCAATTTCAAAACATTCCTCCGAATTAAAAATAGAGTATAAGATAATTATGAATGCCATTTTAGATATCAAAAGGCTTGGCGAGATTACGTAAAATTCCGCCATCTATTAGCAAACATGTCAAAACCAACGTTTGAAGATCGCCGGAAACTCGAAGTAAAAGAAAATAAGCTGCAAGAAATGCGTACTCAAAGTAAAATGAAACGTGACGTAACCGTTGCAGTTTCCTCAGAGGGTTTCTATCGGACAGGGATAATGTGTGATGTGATTCAACACGCAATGTTAATCCCCGTATTGGTGTGTCACCTTCGGTTTCATCACTCATTAAATTGTCTTGAAGAGACGATGTGTTATAAATTCAAAAATCGCTCACTTTTACAATTGGCTTTAACACATCCATCGTATCGAGAAAATTTTGGTACAAATCCCGATCATGCACGGAATAGTTTAACAAATTGTGGAATTAGACAACCAGAATATGGTGATCGTAGAATACATTATATGAATACGAGAAAAAGAGGGATTAATACTTTAATTAATATCATGTCAAGATTCGGAAAACAATACGAAACCGAATCAAATATCACACATAACGAACGATTAGAATTTTTGGGGGATGCTGTCGTTGAATTTTTATCCTCCATCCATTTATTTTACACCTTCCCGGATTTAGAGGAGGGTGGATTAGCAACTTATCGAGCTGCGATTGTCCAAAATCAACATTTAGCGGTTTTAGCCAAAATACTTTGTCTCGATCAATTTATGTTGTACGCCCACGGTTCTGATTTATGTCACGATTTAGAATTAAGACACGCGATGGCAAATTGCTTTGAAGCTTTGATGGGGGCTTTGTTTTTGGACGGCGGGATCGAAATTGTCGACAAAGTTTTTTCAAATACTTTGTTTAAAGAGGACCCGGATTTATATGAAGTTTGGGTCAATTTACCACCGCATCCTTTACAAGAAAAGGAACCGATGGGTGATCGACAATGGATCACCAAATTTGAATTATTACAAAAATTGACGAAATTTGAAGAATCAATTGGTGTTGACTTTACGCATATTACTTTATTAGCGAGAGCGTTTACTGATCGGAGTGTAGGGTACACAAATTTAACTTTGGGATCGAATCAACGGTTGGAGTTTTTAGGTGATACCGTTTTACAGTTAATTGCATCGGAATATCTTTATAAATATTTTCCCGAGCATCATGAAGGACATCTTTCGGTATTTATGTCATAAAAATTAATAAAAAGAAAGAAAATAATCGATATTAATGATTTGTTTTAGTTATTGAGAAGTTCATTAGTTAATAATCGAACCCAAGCCGTTGTTTGTGACGATTTAGGAATGGCTAGTTATGCTGTTTATAATAATCCGAAAGCTGAATTAAAAACTAAGGATCGCGCCGATTTATTGGAAGCTTTTATTGGAGCTTTATATGTTGATAAGGTAAATAATTTAATGTTCGTATTATTATTATTATTCGCGTAGACGTTAAAGCGACGGACGCGTAAGCTTTACAACGTTAACGTAAGCTTTTGTACTTTCATGAATGACCTGAACCTTGTGGCTTTCTGTGTATTGTTGATTTACACTTAAGGTTACGTTTACTAATGCCTGCGCGGGGTTACTCGTCGCAGATTCGCGATTATTGCGTTCTCGAACGACTATTAAATGACTTGTGATACTTGCGTAAAATGCGATAATCCTCTGCAAGCCCTTAAGACTGTTATAAACGATCTCGTAGCTCAATTGAAAAATTTATCCGAATCGGTGTCTGAATTGCGAGATAAGTAAAGTGCCAAAGTATTATCTCAAAATACGATCGATGAAGTGATCAACGAGATAACTGAACGTGAACGGAGTGCGCGCAATGTCATAATTTCAAACAGGCCCGGTTCTAGGGATGAAGTCATTATCGTGCCATTTAATTTCAGCCGCCCCCGACAGAGCCACCTTTTTAAAGATCTTGTATTTATTATTAATTGTAGCGCATTTTTAATTTTTTCTTAACAATAAGGAATTGATAAAGAAATGAATAAAAATTGATTTGATGTTTAACACACGTTTACTTTATCGCTTAAAACTCAAATAGTTAAAAAAAATTTCAAAAACTAAAAACTGTTATTGCACTAAAATTGCACTTTTCGTGCTTTTTTATTTGCAAGTTCGTCAATAACGGTATCTAAATTAATTTCTTCTGACAATTCTTTTTCTATTGCTACTAAACTTAAGTTACTAAGTCTCTCTTGGCACATAGATGATCTTAAATATGATTTAATTAATTTTAACTTAGAAAAACTCCTTTTACCTGTTGCAACTGTGACTGGTAGTGTTAAATATATTCTCAAGGCAACAGAAAAATTGGAAAAGGATGAAATTAAACCACTGGTTTGAATGAATTGTAAATTCTTTAAAGGGTCGGTAACATCCTCATTAAGTATTTTGTACATTATCAATTCGTTGTACAAATCTTCACCGTCAACATCCCTAGAGATATCATCGTTATTTCGAACTGGCAAAGCTATATCAAAGTCTGCACAAGATTTTCTTAGATCATCTTCAGACATATTTCTGAATTCAATTAAAAATTTGAACAATGCGTTGCAGTCATTTAACGAAGTAAATCTTTCTTGAATAGAATTTAGAGCTGTGTCCAAAAGTGTAAAATAAAATTCCACTTTAAACAATAATTTTGGATCTTGAATCCGTTCATCATGGCATTCATAATCGAAAATACGAACTTTTTTTTTCTGCCTCTCCAAAGGAAATTCTATCTCTATATCTAGATCGGTTGCTAATGTTGTAGCATCGTTAATATACTTATTGAAAGCTGCATCACACCTAGATGAATTTAAGAAGTCAATAATTTTGTTGAGTGATTTCAGAAATTCATTAATTGTTGTTGTGGACGATTGTAGTAGCTTACTGGCAATATTAATATTTGAAAGAATATCATCCCATATTAAAATTGAGCAAATAAATTTAAAAGTAGATATATTGTTTAATAAAGCATTTGCTGCAACTTTCAACATAGCCCTTAGGTTACATTCTTAAGTCTACATTGCAGACCACTCTTTTTCCCCTTCATGTTGGAACCGTTATCATATCCTTGGCCACGTATGTTTTGTACATCTAAATCATAAGTACTTAATAATTCATTTGTAAAGAAATTAAACAATCCTTCTCCAGTTGCATCCAATACTGGATAGAACCCAAGAAATAGTTCTTTAATTTCAATAGGAGATGTACTCATATCCACTATTCTGGCTACAAAAGAAATTTGTTCAACATGCGTTACATCTGGCGTACAATCTAAAATAACAGAAAAATATTTCGATTTTTTATTAACTCTTGAATTTTTGTTTTTATCGAATTAGCCAGTTCTGTAATAATTTCATTTTGGAAAGAGTGTCCTAGGTAATGAGGCATGTAACTGTACTTCTTACTTTTTTGAATATTGAATTGATATGATTTGAAATAATTGGATCAAATTTCGCCAGCATTTCTATACCTTTTAGAAAATTTCCGTTATTTCGTTCATATAATACATCAGAATCACCTCTAAAAGCTAAACATTGTCCTGCTAAATACTGTACAATTGCAACAATTCTGGTGATAATATCACGCCATCTTCTTTTCTCCGACTCAAAATATCGTTGTTGTTCACAGTCTATAGTACAATTCTTACTAAGTCTTTTTTTCAATTCATTCCACTTTTGATAATTGAACATATGATCAATACTTGATTCATGTCGGGATAATTGTGTAGCCAAATGTCGCCAATCAGAAAATCCGTCTTTTCCTGTTAATTTCATTGATTTAATGGAAAATAATTTGCAACAATAACAAAATGTGCTGTTTGCCTTGAGTGAGTACACCAACCAGTTTCTTTTTTGGTAATATTCATAAGTATTGTGACGGTGAAAACGATCTTCCATCGCTGTCTGTGTTTGTAGGAAATTTTATATTTTGTTGAAGCGATGGAGGTCCTTTTTCAACGAGAATTTCCAATAATCGGTTATTGATTATTGCTGGCCAAGTAGAGGGGTCGTGTAGATTTATAGATGATGAGGTCGAAGATACATTATCAATTTCTATTTCAGTATTTTTTTTTTTCATACGCGGAACTTGCAGGACTAGTAGTAATACTGGTAATGTCATCAGTTGGGATAGTAATGTTACTAATATTATCAGATGTTGCTTCGTCGATAGGAAAATTCCTCGCTGAAGTCGAAACTGGATTATTATCTTCATCTAACTTAACAAACTTAAGCATAGAACTTCGTAATTTTTCTTCTTGCTTATCTTTTTCCGCTTTACGCTTTCTATAAAAAGCACCAGATTCACGCTTTGTCTTCCTTTCTGACATCTTCGATCTTTATGCTTATGTTAAGAAATAATATCCACCTTAGTTAACTTAGTGTCTAAGTAAATAGGAATTTTATTTACCTTCGTCGAATCGGCAGGTTTTTCACAATAAACTAAGTTAATAAACCAAATATTAATACATTGAACATTTGGGAAACAATGGTGGGTTTGGGATGCCAACTTAATCACAGCCGTAACCGATTTAGAGGTTAGCGCTGACCGGTTAGGAAACATTTTTAACGATTTTAAATTTTACTAAGGCCCACTTTTACCACCTCTTGATAAATTTAACCGATAGGTAATTACCATGGTTACAGCGGTTTTAAGCGCTCTTATTGGCTAAGAGCGCCAATTTATCTATCGGATAAATTTATCAAGAGGTGGTAAAAGTGGGCCTTAAAAGAGGTAATTGTTGCCAACAAAAAAATCAGAACCAATTTTTTTTATTTATGGTTGGTAGCACGGTGTAGTTTTACTTTCGGCGCAAACTGAATATTTCAATATGGTTTTTTTTAATATTTCGTCTGTGCATATGACGGCCGGCCGCCCTGTATGTTCGGCCGCCTTCGTGCATGCACGCTTCGCACGCTCGGTAGAACCGGGCCTGATTTCAAATGTAGCTGAGACCGACGACAACTCTACTAAAGACACAGTTCAGGCTATACTCAGAGACTTTATTCAAGTGTCTCCTCATACTGTAAAAGTCTTTAGATTGGGAAAACCACCTTCTGTAACAATTACTTGTCCAAGACTCATTAAATGTTCGACAGTATATCTGATAGCAATATGGTGGTAAAACGAGCTAAAGAGTTACGTAACTCAGTCAATTTAAAAAAAATTTACATCAATAGTGATCGAACACCAAGACAACAGGAATATGAGCGCAATATACGTGCTGACCTCAAACGTCGTTCTGAAAGTGGTGAAAATGATTTAAGAATACTGGGTGTAACAGTAACTATACACATGATAAGAGACACTTTTTGACATACAAGTAATTTTTTTTTCAATTCCGGTTTCGCCGGAAGTGACACTAACTTTAGATTTTTAAATGGAACACCCTGTATATTATTAAATTTTTGAAATTTGAATAATTTTCTGAATCCAATAAGTACCACATAAGTGACATTTCAAACGTCAATATTTTTTAGAATTTAATGTTTTTTCCATTGAAGTGTGCCACGAGAGTTACGTTTTATTCTAATTAATCCGTCTAATGCTAGAAAAATCTAAATTCCGCCAAAAATACCAAATTACGTGATTTATGTGCAAATAAAATTCATCAAAATGACGGAATTTAGATTTTTCTAGCATTAGACGGGTTAATTAGAATAAAACGGAACTCTCATGGACACTTAAATTGAAAATTAAATCTAAATTCTAAAAAATATTGACGTTTGAAATGTCACTTATGTGGTACCATTGGATTCAGAAAATTATTCAGATTTCAAAAATGTAATAATATACAGGATGTTCCATTTAAAAATCTAAAGTTAGTGTCACTTCCGACGAAACCGGAATTGAAAAAAAAATTAATTCTATGTCAAAAAGTGTCTCTTATCATGCGTATAGGATGCCCCAAATTTGAATCAATTATCTTCAAAACTAAAGGACATACGGGGGGTGTACCATGATCCTGTTACACCCGGTATAGTTCATTAATTGTTAAGAATAATTAGTTACTTCGTAAAGGAGAGAGTACAACATATACTACCAAAATACACACGGATTGAATACAAAAATCAATGAATTTTTTTACTTCGATCGATGCATCAGACTTTGATGTATGACGTTTTTAGATGTAATCGACCTCTCCGTAGCGGGTACTGGCCATTAATTCCGGAGTTGCTACTTCGAATATCATGATTGCCTCCTGTCCTATTGAATCAATTGACTTAATAGCTGTACGAATTGACTTTAAAAAGATGAAATCAGCTTTTAACATTGTTGTCTGTTATTTCCCACCTGCCACACCTGGAGAAATATATAGCCACACCTTCGATTACGTTGAATTAATGTTCGATAAGTCTTTGGATACCATAGTCATGGGTGATTTTAATATTCCGTCACTTGACGCTGCGAATGATGAGCGAGCCACTACTCTTTCCAATTTTCTTAGTTATAATGACTTTCTGCAATTAAATAATGTAATGAATAGAACTCTGGATTTGGTACTTGCTTCCTGAAACTTGAGTCTTCAAATTACACACTCAGAGTTTACATAGCTGAAGATGTATACCGCGACACCCGGTACTGCTTCAAGAAGTACGAGGCACTGCTGAACATCAACTGGCCTCATTTATTTACGTTATCATCGATTCAACAATCCTGTAATGTTTTTTATGAACCATTATACAACGTCTTGGACACTCATGTACCTAAACCTGAGGGCAAGCATGCAAGGTCGAAATTTCCTGTATATGTAATGCTTAGATTAAAAAAACACCACCATAAATTGTATAGAAAAACTCATTGCAGATATCATCGCACAAGTTTCAGACTATGTTGACCGACCATTTTGGGACTATGTACTGTCCTGCATCAATTGAACTTACTGCTAACGATCACGCTGGTTATGATACTAATTTTGTCACCTTTGGTATCTCCGAAATCAGTTGCGACGAAATGGTTGAATGAGATAAGTGCTATGTAGCGAATTATCGGCCAATAGCCATCATAAATAACTGCAAAGCTATTTGAATAAATTGTAGCATCCAAAATTGAATTCTACACTAAGGCACGAATCTGAGAATGTCAGCATGGCTTCCACAGAGGTAAATCTTACCATATCTTACCATTAATTTACTAAATTTTGCTCAATATGTATCTGCCGCACTGGATCGTCGTGGACAAGTTGATGTAGTTTACACTGATTTCTCACGAGCATTTGACTGTTTGGATCTTTCGTTGTTCACGATGAAACTGGAGAAATTTGGTTGCGATTGCTCTCTTATACTCTTTACTTTACGCCTGTATTAAGTAAACCTGAATACTGGTGTAACGTTTGGTCTTCGACTTTTTTGACACACGACTTAAGTGCTCGCGTTTTTAATGTGTTTACCCTAAATCATGCTAATACTAAAATTCTTCTTTAAAAGGTTCTAATTCCCCCATTAACAAGTTGATGCGAGTAGCGAATACGACCAAGCCTGTATTATTTTTCAAAATGTAATTTTCTGTTTCTATCACATTAATACTTTTAGTACTGTTCTTCCTTAGAGCTTATGTGTCTCTAGTAATTTAATAGTGCTTTAAGTTTTCTGCGTGCATTTCACTTTCAAAACTTTAGGTTAACTAATATTATACCACTTTGGGAACAATGTATTTCCATTGGGATAATAAATATTATTATTATTATTAATGTTTAATTAAATTACACTGTTGGAAATAATTCACGAGCACACCCTGTATTATCTGAACGCGTGTATCTAGCGCAATAAAATTTGGTTTCTAAGTAGTACTAAAGTAGTATAACTTACTCTCACATGGAGAACGGCACAACTCTGCTGGGAGGAGAAACATCAATAGCGAGAGTATCCCCCGTGAGCTTCGCGTACCATCGCTACACGACGTGGCATGGAGTCTATAAGTCGCTATATTGTAGCGAGAGGGATGGCCAACCATGCCACCTCAACTCGCCTCCATAGCTCCTCAACGTTAGCCGAGGAAGCCGGATAACGTAGAAGTCTCCGACCAGTCATGTCCCAAACATGTTCGATCGGATTCAGATGCGGAAACCGAGCTAGCCATGGAAGCATTCGTATACGGTGCTCTTCCACAAACGTCTGTACAATACGTCCGTTGTCGTGCATGTATAGCAGACATGGGAGCCGCCGAACGTATTGAAGCACAACGGACCGTAGTACCTCATCTACGTATCGTTGACCCGTCATGGTCTGCTATACACGCAGCAGACGTGTACGTCCAGCATATGTAATCGCACCCCATACCATAATGCTCGGTTGTCGGTGGATACGGCGCTCTTGCACACACTGCTCGAGTAGACGATCACCACGGCTCCGACGAACTAAAATTCGCGCATCACCGGTGCTCAATTCGAATCTTGATTCGTCGGAAAACAAAATGTCCCTCTACTCGGCAACCTACTAATGCCTAGCGTCGACCCCCTCGTGACGTATGCTGCGGTGCTCGGGTGTTACTGGAATCCGCCGTATCGCACGACGCGCGCGCAGTCCACTGTCTACCAAACGCCGCCGTACAGTTCGCGCAAGGTTTATACCGGGTGTCCCTCAAAAGTGGCTCACCCCCATATTTTTTTTTATTATTAGTGATATAAGAAAACCATTTGGAATGCATAATTAGGCTGTTGAAACGGATTATTACGACATGAAATCATTGTTTTTGAACTTCCGGTTATACCGGATGTGAGTACTAACTTCGCTATTTTTTTTGAATCTATAATTTTTTTTGGGTAGACAACATAATTTCACATAACCTTTACTTGAAAAAATTTTCACGGTCGCTTATAATTTTTGGAAAAAAAAATATTTTCGTTATTTTTTAACGTTTTAGTACCTTCGGAAAATGTATTACAACATTTGATGCATAGTAACTAGGTTAATAGTATAAACTACGTTATGTTCCTCGTGATTTACTATTTCTCGAGCAGTGGTCACTGCTATGCTTTAGTCAGTGGTTCTTTTTTAATAATGGTGTAAATTAACAGTTGTATTAAATCAGTTTTAAAAGAAAAACTCGAAACAACAAGTAAATTTGATTCAATTATAAGTACAAAAAAAATAATTTTCTAAATTTTCAAAATGCTCCCCGCCTCGATTTTGGCATAATTGTATCTTGCGTATTGTCGATCTAACAACTCGACGTAATTCCTGCGGAGATATTTGTCTCCGCAGGAATTTATATACATATATTGGTCTATTATACACCTCATTTTTTATTTTGCCAAATAAAAACACCTTTAGAAAACAAATCTAAAGGTGTGAGGTCAGGTGATCTGGAAGGTAAAAAGATAGGAATAAGGAGAAATGTGAGAAAGAAACCAAAAAATCAGTAACCACTCTGCTGTTGTGAGGTGGGCCGCCGTCTTGTTGGAAAATTAGTCCATTATAAGTTCCAACTGGTAGGTCCTCCAGAAGATCCTCAATTCCATTATTAAGGAAGTTGAGGTATCTTTCCCCTGTAAGATGACCATCAAAAAATATTGGACCCACCACTCTTTCTCCAATGATTCCCATCCAACAATTAAAACCAAATCTTTCTTGGAAATTCCCTTCCTCTATCAAATATAAATTTTCTTGTGCCCAATACCTTTTATTATTTCGATTAAACATACTCAAATTAGTAAATCGACTCTCATCTGTATACAGAATTTTGAAGGGAAATGCATTGTCGTTTTCATATCTTTCTAAATACCAATTACAAATATTAATATCATATATACTTTTTCGAATTGCATGAATTTTTCCATAATTTAAATTGAAATTAACGAATATTGTCAACTAATGAACTTAATTACGTTACTTAATTTACGTTATGTCAAATTGCTAGCAATTTTTTTCCATAGCCGCCTTGATAGGTTTTAATCAAAATAAAGTGAACAATCCAAACCATAATGTACAATGGACATTGTACATTGTAATTTACCATCAGCTACAGAACATTTAGTGTAAAAGAACAACAAATAAAAAATAAAAGATCAAAAATAATTGAATTAAATTTAGTTGTTTGTCCGCGTTTTTCTTTTAAAACTAATTTAATACTACTGTTAATTTACACCATTATTAAAAGGAACCGCTGACTAAAGCGCACAATCACTGCTCGAGAAATAGCAAATCAAGAGGAACATAACATAGTTTATACTATTAACCTAGCTACTATGCGTCAAAAGTAGTAATACATTTTCCGAAGATACTAAAACGTTGAAAAACAACGAAAATAACTTTTGTTTTCAAAAATTATAAGCGATCATGAAAATTTTTTCAAGTAAAAGTTATGTGAAATTATGCTGTCCACTCATCTGAAGAAAAAAAATGTATAGATTTAAAAAAATAGCAAAATTAGTACTCACATCCGGTATAACCGGAAGTACAAAGAGTATGATTTAACGATGATGATAAATGATGATAAAACGTAATAATCCGTTTTAACGGCCTTATTATGCACTCCAAATGGTTTTCTTATATCACTAATAATAAAAAAAAATATGGGGGTGAGCCACTTCTAAGGGACACCCGGTATATAAAAGGTTGTCTAGGTTCGTACGCAACCATACTGCGCATTACGTCACATGTGGAAAATAATATCGCCAAGCAATTCAAATTAAACAAATGCATGGAGCACCACATGGCCATGAGGTTGCGTGCGCAATCCGTGATCGCTTACGTCACGAAACCCTCCTGCTCTTGCCCCTCGCCCACAAACTAAAATCAAAGTATTGCAGAATAGGAACTTAGACAACCTTTAATATATAAACCTTGCAGTTCGTAGTGAGTGCGCCTTCCCCTGCCGGTGGCCAAACAGCTCCAAGTTGCCTTGAGGAGGACACATACGACGCTAAAGTGCTGAGCACAAGAGTGCGATCCTCGTGTGCTGGGGACGCGCAGGGCCGTCCCGGCCGCGGCTGAACGTACCAATGTCCTACCTCAGACCATTCTCGCCATGCCCGTTGCACTGCCGATAACGACCGCACGAGACGACGCGCAATTTCACAGAACGATAAACCCTCAATGTGCATACCCACAAACATTCTTCGCTCAAACTCGCTTAAGTAACGCGATCGCCCATCCATTGCGCACAGAGTACGATAACAATGTGGTCCCTCACAGCCCACTAAAAACTACCGGTATTTTCCATCCACTTCGGTCTCCATAGCGACGGAATGTTCCACTTGGAAGGGCGGCTCAGTCAACAATGCCGCAACTGAACAACTCGAAACTCCCTCTACAGTAAGCCTTTGTGCTCCGCAAATATTATGGATTTATCTTCACGCGTTCAGATTATATAGGGTGTGCTCGTGAATTATTTCCAACAGTGTATAAGTTTTAACTTTTTTTCATTTTAGGGTTTAGAATATTGCGAAGTTTTTTGCCAAGTAACACTTTTCCCTCGCCTCCAAGATTTTATTATGAATCAAGATTGGAATGACCCAAAATCGAAACTTCAACAATGTTGCTTAACGTTACGAACAATGGATGGTGGGGAACCTGACATCCCAGTCTACAAGTACAAACATTTTATTAATCTTATGCTCTATTTATAAATATATCATTTTAGAGTTATTGAATGTAAAGGTCCAACTAATACTAGAGTCTACACTGTCGCGGTTTATTTCCGTGGAAGTCGTTTAGCGAGTGCTGTCGGTCACAGTATTCAACAAGCAGAAATGAACGCCGCTAAAAATGCATTAGAAATATCACACGGTATAAAAATTTAGTTATTGTAATTTAAGGCTTATTAAAATTTAAGGCTTATTAAAATTAATGACTTATAAAAATTGATTTATTGACAATTTAAGATTTATTTCCACAATTGGATCATCAAAAGCGTGTTATCGCAAAAAGTATGAAGAAGCAAAAGCCGCAACGGAAAAGGGGGCGAAGTCGGTCAAAATCGAAAAGTCCTCAGAGGGTTTTTCAACCCAACAGGCAAAAATCTCCGACTAGTTATTCGAAATATCGGTTTAGAGATTCGTCTCCAGAGAAATCGGTAGGTTCTCCTTCGGATACAGTAGAGAGTAAGTAAAAGGATATTTAAGAATTTGAAATATGTGTAAAATGTAAAAGGAAATTAATAAATTGAATTAAATCATTACGTTTTTTTTAAAATTAAAATAATTTCTTTTAGCATATTAAAAAAAGTTATATTATAATTATTTTATTATCATTTTTTTTAACATTAATAATTTAATTCCTTATTTTGGTTGATTAATTATCAACTAATTATTATTAGTTAACTTTCAATATCCTCCAAATAGTACAATAAAGTATCATTTTCATAAGTAGGAAAAAAATATCTGAAAAAAAATCATAAAATCAAAAATTCTTTTTTAATTATTTAAATTTTAATTCAATTACTTACTCAGGTTGATCAAAAACATTAATTTCGGGTATTTTAACATGTTCCTCTTGATTCATATGCAATTTATTTTCATGATCATGATTGAAATGTTGATTACAAAAAACGCAATTAAAATGAACCATTTGCCTTCGAATATAATTAACCAATTTGACTTTTTGATAAAAATCCAATTTTCCTGTTATCTCATTAAAGTCAAAGCTATGATCATTTTTCATATGCAACCGTAATTCATCAATTTTTGGGTTTTTATACGCGCAAAATAAGCAGAAAATTTGATAATCTTTTTCATTCCAATCTGAGTATTCATTATCGGAATTCTCATCCCCTAAAAAACTTTTTTTTTAAATATCTTAATCTTTATTAAAGTTAATCATTTACTTTCTAAAGCGTAATTATCATCTTTTTCATCCCTTTTTGATTTATTTATCTCTAAATAATTAACTATATAAAATTTATCATAATTTTTATTCAACGGATTAACACATTTATGCATTTTCTTCCTCATATGTTCTTTTAAAATAATTCTATCGGGAAATCTCCCCTCACAATAAATACAAATAAATTCATTTAATTTTTTCTCAATTAAATCGAGCAACTCATCCACGAATACCAAATTTTGCGGATTTCCCAATGTTAAATTATGTTTCATCGATAAATGTTTTAAATAATCACTTCGCAATCCTTCCAATTCTAATTTACAAAACATGCAATTTCTTTTAAAACTAACATCCGTTCTTTCACGTTCTTGAATACTTAAAACATAACTCAACCTTAATTTATGCCTCAATTCTTTATCCTCCTTTATTAACGTTGATAACAAAAAATATTTTTCATCTGTATCTTCCATTTTTAAGGACGGAACTAAACTTTCAAACGGTTTTAATACAAATCTTTCTTTCCAATACATTAAATAACTAAAAACAGTAAAAATTTTTGATCCAAATTAAAAATTATTTGGGATAAAACTCACTCATGTAAATTATCGATATTTTGAACATCCTCAATGACCAAATTATGAACCTCGAAACAATGTTTTAAAAAAATTTTGAACCCCAATTTTAAATTGAAACGATCCTCGCATAACAAACAAGGAGATTCTTTGTTAATTTCATCAGATTCGGGGGAATTATCGAAAGATAAAGGCCCCAAAAGTTTTGAGGTACACATTTCTGACATATTTGACGTTTTAAAATTAGGTTAGGTTTGAAATTTGTAGGATAATAAAGGAATCTGTACATTAATATTTATTAAACTAATTAAATTTAATATATATTTTTTATTGTAATAAATTTGTGATTATTCAAAGTATTTTTGTTAATGACGTTATTACCAGTAATAATAAACAACTAAATCCGGGAATGTTTTTGATTGATCCATCTAAAAAATAACTTAATTATTAAAAAGGTTTAAAAAGACTTTTTTGATATACTTCTACATCTTGCATTCACTGAATGATACCCATTGTTGCAATCATACTTTCAACGAATTGTATCCCTAGATAACATTCTTTATCTTCCGTGCAAGGTACATGCAGATCTAAAAAACATTTTAGTTATTTGCTAACATAGAATTATTTTGAACCCCAATTTTAAATTAAATCGATCCTCGCATACCAAACAAGGAGATTCTTTGTTCATTTCATCAGATTCTGAGGAATTACCGAACGATAATGGCCCCAAAAGTTTTAAGGTTGACGTATTTGACGTTTTAAAGTTATGTTTCAAATTTATAGGATAATAAAGGAATCTGTACACTAATATTAAAATATAAATTATTTAATTAAATTTAAAATATATTGCTTTTAATTTTAATAAATTTGTGATTATTCAAAGTATTTTTGTTAATGACGTTATTACCAGTAATAATAAACAACTCCGGGGATGTTTTTGATTGATCCATCTAAAAAATAACTTATTATTAAAACGGTTTAAAAAGATTTTTTTAATATACTTCTGCATCTTGAATTTACTGAATGATACCCATTGTTGCAATTGCATCTGAAGTTTTTACAAATCATACTTCCAACGAATTGCATCCCGAGATAACATTCTTTATCTTCCGTGCAAGGTTCGCGCAAATCTAAAAAACATTTTAGTTATTTAATTTGCATAAAATTGCTTAAACTTTAACAAACATTTATTATAGTGACATTTTCCATCTCTAAAATGGTGTTTAATAGGACATCGGCAGTATCCGTTCACGCAAATCGAATTATACTCCAAAAGATAGCATTCATTTGAATTTGGGCAAGCTATTTTTGGGTTTACATCTGTATAATTATATTTATTTGTTAATGTGGAATTTGATCTTTTAATTTTGATGCTTTACCTTCAAGACAACCTTCACTGTATTGAGTTGTTCCTTCCATACATTGACAAATATTATTTCGGCACTCTGCATTTGCTATGTACCAGCAATAATAATTAGAACTGCATTTATCACCCAAATCAATCCCTAAAATCATCATAAACGTATTAAATTGGTTTCAAATTCTTATTTATTTTTACCAAAAATAGTTAAAAAATTTAATAGGATGAAGAATGTTAAAATAACGAGCTTGAGAAGCAACATTTTCAATTAGTTTTAATCTAAAACTAAATCAAGATGCATAGTTTTATCTTATTTTGGATTAGCGTTGTTTACCAAAGTTTTATCTTTATGATCCCAAAACCTAAATAATTATTTGCTAGATACGAATAGTAGTGCTGATAAACGCATCCTTTATAAGAAAAACAATTCTTGATTATGTAACTTATCACTATTGGGGAAAAACCTAAGAATCTATTTTAAGACTTTAAACTCGTATAAAATGCGTCATTTAAACCGTAATTATTCATTCATGTTCACAAATATTGTTACACGATGTTAACGAAAATCCTTTTAATTTATTTATTTACATCAACACAAACACTAGGTAATTATAATTAATTATGTCTAATTTTAAACAAATATTTTTCCTTTTTAGCATTAAACATAATTTCTCGAACACAATGGTTAGCAAAACCATCAAAAACCAATCAACTTCTCGCCATAAATCCTCCATCTCACGTCGTAATTCATCACGCTGGAACAACAAATTATAAATGTTCGAATGTGGCTGAATGTTCTTTGGCTGTTCGCAAGATTCAAACATATCATATGAACGGAAATGGTTGGAAGGATATTGGTTATAATTTTTTAGTGGGACAAGATGGGAATGTTTATGAAGGTCGGGGTTGGGGAAAACATGGAGCTCATTCCCCAGGATTTAATCGAAAAAGTATTGGAATTTGTTTCATTGGAGATTACAGTAACAATATTCCATCTCAACAACAAATCAATACGGCGAAGGAGTTAATTAAATATGGAGTTGATAATAATTTGATTAAAACTGATTATAAATTAGTTGGGCATCGACAGGATGTTTCCGTTAACACGGCTTGTCCTGGGCAGAAATTGTTCGATGAAATTAAACAATGGGATCATTACACGATGAATCCATAAAAATAATTGTACTTAAACTATGTAGCATATTAAAATTTTGTATCAAAACTGATTTGAAATCTAGTAAATAAAACTAAAATCTTGTAACTTAGGCTATGTTTATACTTTATTGAGTTAAAATTAAAATGGGTTGGTTTTGATAAGGTTTATTTGTAAAATATTTAAAATTCTCCAATAAAAAGAATATTAAAATTAATTAATAACAATTAAATTTAAAATTTGACGTTTGAAATGTCAAAATTCATAATTTAACTTTTTAATTAACCCTGAAGTTAGTTAAATTAAATAAACGTCAAAAATGACTTACCATTTTTAATTTAAGTAAAAACTTGACGTTTAAATACATATCGTCAGCCCAGAATTATTTTGTTCTAAATCACATTTTGGTAATTTTAGTAATTAGTAGTAGTTTTAATAATTGATTCCGCCGCCAGGGGTGCCCTTATGTGCATTTCTGTCAACTGTCAATTCTTGCGTTATTAAATTTGAAAAAGTGACATTTATTATTCTCGTAATAATCTCGTTATAACCAATTAAATGACTCAAATCTAATCGATGCTGATGATAGATTAGATGTAGATAAGAAAAATAATTCTAATGGAAGTGTTGATGAAAACGTAGTTGATGAAGATAGAATTGATAGAATAAAGAAGTTGAACAAGAAACGTAAAAGAAATCCTTCTTCGTGGAAACAAAGTATAAGAAAGAACAAAAGGCAAAGAGGAGAAGAATACATAGATTGTAAAGGAAATTTAAAACCACAAAAGAAAGTAAAAACTGCGACATGTCATACGGAAAAATGTAGTTTCAAATGTTCACAAGCAATTAATGGAGAAGAGAGATGATCCCTCTCTTCCATAATCAATTTTGGAATTTGGATGACAAACGTAAACTCCATTTCTACTCACAGCATGTCAAACGTATTGTATCGCTACGCAAAAGAACAAAAGAAGAAATTAGTAAGAAAACATATAGCTATAAATATTATTTCTATGTATCCGGAGTGGAAGTTCGAGTTTGCCAAGAGTATTTTCTGAATACATTGAATATAAGCAAACAACGGATCTACTATTTCTTCAAAAATAATATGAATGAAAATGTACCAAGAAGTCCTAAACATGGCAAACATTGCAAAAAAACTATTAGTGATGAGCAAAAAGACAAAGTAAGGGTTCATATTGGTAGCTTCCCAGCAGTAGAATCACACTATTGTAGAGCACAAACTAGTAAAAAGTATTTGGATAGAGGACTCAATCTCAGAAGAATGTATGAATTTTATAGGTCTTCGTCTAAAATTCCAGTAAAATTTAATATATATTCTCATATCTTCAATAATGAATTTAACATTGGATTTTTTAAACCTAAAAAAGATCTTTGTGATAAATAAAGAACCTTCCCCAGACGACATTAATAAACACGATTACCACATCCGTCAAAAGGAATTGTGCAAGAACGAACGAGATAGAGATAGAACAAGATTTCTTAATGATGTTCAAGTTGGGATTGTGACATTTGATTTACAAAACACATTTTCACTTCCAAAAGCTAATGTTTCCAATTTCTATTATAAGACAAAACTTTCGTGCTACAACTTAACCGCGCATTTAAGTAAATTAACACAAAAGTAGTGTTTTGGCACGAATTTTCAGCAGGTCGTGGGGCGAATCATATTGCTGCTGCAATTTTTAAAATCCTAACGCAAATTATGATTGATAATCCTCAACTCAAAAGCCTTATTCTGTGGTCTGACAGTTGCGTTCCACAAAACAAAAATTCGATAATGTCCTTCGCCTTACAATATTTTTTAAACTCTATAAAAAGTAAGGATCTCGAGACGATAGAACAAAAATTCAGCGAACCAGGACATGGAAATATTCAAGAAATCGATAATGCACATAGTTTAATTGAGAAACATATCCGCAACATTGAAATTTGGAGTCCCATCTCATTAGTTCGTCAACTATTATTGATTCCCTCATCTTGGAAATTAAAATTTAAAGTCATTCAAATGCAGCCAAATAATTATTTCGATTTTTAAAAGATTTCAAAAGCTTTGAATTATAAAACTATTCCTTATACTAGACTGAAACATATAATCTATAATAAAGGTAATATAAATAATATCGAATTTCGAGAAAAATTTGAAGGTGATTTTACAAAAGCGAAAATGTATCGCTTTGTATCAAGAAAGAAAAATGAAATAAAAGTGGTTCCATATCACTTATCAGAAGAACTTCCCGTGGCGAATCAGGAGTTTAAAATACCGGAACTAAAGAGAAAACATCTTTCAGAAATTGTGTCATATGTGCCACATGAAGATGAAAAGGCGTTTTATAATGCACTGCTTTCAAATAAAAAAAGTGCAGTAATAATTGAATAAACTAAGAAAATACAATAATAATATAAAAAAATAAATCTTTTGTTTTAGAAAAATTACTTATTAATGAATTTATCTATTAATTCTTGTTAATAATTATAGATTTCATTACTTCGAATTAAAATTATTTCATATAATTTGTTTTTTTATCAAAGAATTCCTTAGGCGAATTTATTTCGAAAAACAAGTGGATATAGACTAATTAGTTAATAAAAAAATGTGCAATATCCCATATATTTTTCTAGAAATAAGAAAAAGTCGAAATTTGTTCTAAATCCAAAACAATTATTTCAAATTTTCAGTACATTTCTTCAAAATTCATACAACAGCCGACGAATTGCATTACATTTTATATATATCTTTATGAAGAGTAAAGATTTTTGATAATATAATTAAAAGAAAGTATAAAAAAGTAATGAAATCCGTAAAGTCGTTTCCCCAACATTGACGTTTTGGGATATATCACAATTCTAGGGTGACGATATGTCAGATTTAATTTTGAATTGAGTTTATAATAAAATGTTAACTTTAACATTCAAAACTCAAGTTTTATGGTTTAAATTAAAAGTTATTAAAAACAAAATCAACAAATTTTATTAACCAATTTATTTTAGAAAAAATAATTCTTAATCAACATTCTTTTTTAATTGCGCTTTACTTTTCGCTCTAAACACATCTTTCTTTTTTTGTTGCATTTTCTTTTGCTTTTTCGATTCAAGCGCTTCAATGGTTTTGCGATGTTTCTCCAATCGTTCTTTAGTCTCCTTTTTCAACCGCTCCTGTTTGTGTTCATACGCCGTCCTAATCATCTTTAGCATATTCGAAACCTTTTCTTCATGTGGTTCCTTAACCACAGCGACCCTCTTAAATGCTTTCTTTTTCTCGCCAAGTTTCACGTCATGTTTTGGTTTATCTTTATAAGGAAGCGATTGTTGTAGTTTTTTCGGAATAACTAAAGGTTTAAATACTTTTGGTTCTCTTTGAATCTCCTGAAAAAAATTATATAATAATACAGTAACTAAATATTTCGTAGTATTAAATAACTTACAGTGTATAAACTATCAGGATTAACATCGCTTTTAATTCCTTTTGCCCGTTTTAATTCACCAACAGTTCTAACTCCTTTCCAAGCATTTTTTTTATCTGGCGGTAATAATAATGATGTTAATGGGCTATAAAATTTTTCAACTTGGACTTTATACCAAGTTCGGCAAAGTACTAAATCTGTAATTTTACAAAATTGTTAAAAAAAAATATATTTTTGTCGTTTCAATTTAGTTTTACCGCTTATTAAAATTTTATCTTCAAACGTAGCTCTGAAACAACCCTCCGGTTTATTTTCGGCCTTTTTGATTTGTCCCCTTATCCCGGAAACAGTTTTTATTTTTGCCCCTTCAAATTTAGCCACTTCTAAAGCACTATTAAACATTCCTTAAAAAAAATTAAAAATGATTTCTAATTTAATCAAGAATTTCTTTCATTACCAGTTATAAAAGCTGTATTTTTATGAATCTTTAAAGGTTTCCCCACCAATTGCAACTTTTTCATAATTTGCACGCTTTTATCTAATTCTTGAACAGCCCCAGTTGCGGCAATTCTAAATCCTTGTTGTTTAACAACTTCTGGATTAGCCACACAAGATTGTAAAGCTAAAAATCCAGTTCCTTGCGGCGTTATTGGCCCCCAAAAATGAGCGTTACAAGCTAAATGTTGCGGTGTATATTTTAAATATCTTAATCGAAGATTATCCTCTAATTTAGAGTAAAGTGGTAACGTTTGAAATCGTCTCCAACCCAATGAGACTATAACAGGATCGTTCGCCTTTAAAATTTTTTTATACCAACGATGTTTTTTTAATTTTACATTCACAAAACCGATGTTTTCCTCCCCCATGTTCAAAGCGCCCACAATCACGGGGTAAGTTGGATCAAAATTAGTGATGAATTCGCTTGGAACTCGTTCAAGTTCGATTCGAACGTACATTCCGGGGCGGAATCCTTCGATTTGAACGCGAAGATCATCGTCGAGGTTTTCAAAAACCGATTTGTTTAACTCAGCTTGTTTTTCAGCCGATAATTTCAATTCGTCGTAATAATTATTGTCGGTGTTGTCGTATTCAGAATTAAATTTTTCTTTTAATTTTAATTTTTTCGCTAAAAGTTCTTTGCGGGTCTTTTCGGAATCTTCTGGTTTATTATCGTTGTTTTCGGTTTCTTCATGCTTTCTTTTTAATTTATTGTTATCTAAGAAAAGATAAAAAGGAAATTAGGAATTAAAATTCTGTACCTAAGAGCTAAAGGGACATAAGTTCAAAAGGACTTAATCGTAGAATAGCCGAAAATGATTATAATTTTTTCTAGAACAAATTTGAAACTTTGAAACCTATTAATTTATTAATCATCATTAGGAAATTCTGGGGCCTCTTTAGCACAAAGTAAATTCCTGAAGTAATCCCGATTTTCATATTTGGCTTTAACATGACCTTCATAAATAAAGATAAATTTTTAATAATTTCGTCAAAATAACATGACCTTCATAAATAAAGATAAATTTTTAATAATTTCGTCAAAATAACATGACCTTCTCAAGTTAATGACCTCCTCCTCTCCTCATCGAATCTCCTCCGACTCCTAAAAGAATCGCCGATTCAAGAACCTCCTCTTTTCATCGAACTTCCTCTGACCCCCAAAAAATTTGCCGATTCAAGAACCTCCTCCTAGAACGCAGGTTCGAGGAGGAGGTTCTAGAATCGGCGAATCTATACTACTCTTATAGGTTTTCTCTCTATGTTTGAAGGTTTCTATATAAATTAATGGTGCGAAGGTCTTCTTTAAATGATGTTTTAAAAAATAAAGTACCTAATGTTTCTCGTCGAATTTGGAGCCAAACAACGTTGGATAATTTAAACTGTTCTCCTTCATTGCTTTTTTTCTTGACATGAGTGGTGGTTAATGATGAGTAAAATGTACTCAAATTTTTTAAATTTTCTTACCCATAGAGAACACATTAAATGAGGGTTGTTTACAATTAGGTTGTTTAGTTTTCTTTTTTGCACGTTCATTAACGCTATGCTGACAATCTACTTCCATATGAGTATGGCCTCGTAATAAAAATTTATGATATATAACATGAATGCTGGGAAATACTTGCATTGCATACATGTATACATTACAATCATCATCATATTTCGGTTTCGTTCGGCACAGTTGTCAGTCCAAAGTGTTAATGTTTCCATTTTTTGATTCCTTGGGATTTCTATAAGTAGCCATTTAAAAATACAGGAAGCCATTTCATTACCACCTCTTCCAGCTTTGGTTTCATCCCACATCATACACCAAGTGTTTTTACTACAACGATTATGTATTGTGTAATTAGGGTCTACAACTTCCGAAGATACAAGATCTTTTAAAGATCGGCCATTACCACTTATAAATTTTCATTACTTTTTAAAGCACATTTCTTGACTTCATTTGATATATCAAACAGTTTTTGATTGGATTAACAAATTTTCTACAAACGTGTTTTTCTTAAAAACTATTGCTTTGATCAAAGTTTTGTAAGAGATCAATTAATAAATAATTGATCACTTTACACGAAAATACTGCCCGTTTGACAAAATTAGCAGTGGCGTTGAAAATATTTTTAAAAAAGAACTTTTTATTGCAGATAATGTTTAATTTTAAAGAAACTTTTAATAATAATAAACTCTTATAATATAAACTCTTATAATAATTTTAAAGCTGCTTAAAATTTGTTAATCCTATCCAAAAACTGTTGCTTTCATCAAAGTTTTGTAAGAGACCAATTGATAGATAATTAATCACTTTACACGAAAATGAAGCCCGTTTGACAAAATTAGCAGTGGAGTAGAAAATATTTTTAATAAAGGGTTTTTTATTGCAGATAATGTTTAATTTTAAAGAAACTTTGACACCCTTTTATCTCATTACGGTGGCATTTGCAAGCCCATGTATATTAAGACTTTTCATCTTAATTTTTGATGTATTACCTGCCCTAGAAGTCTGTCAGCGGTTTTTTGAAACACCCTGTATAGATTTTGTTGTGTCTTGGTTTACGTCGTTTTACATCTTTAGTAAGAATTAATGAACTGCCTCTTGCACTCCCAAAAAAGATTTTTTATCCAAAAATCATTATGATGTGCTGGCGTTGATTTTCAGATATTAACGAACGGTACGTATAAGTGGCAGTGGTAAGTAGCGCTAGTTAGCATAAGATATCACCATGTTGCATATTTTTATTGCACTAAAACTAGAACTAACACTAGACCTATAACTAGAAAGTATCCCGAACGTTTCTAATTCTAGGTCTAGTGTTAGTTCTAGTTTTACACTATCATTAGAACTAACACAAGACCTAAAACTAGAATCATTCGGGTTTAGCCGTCTTGAGAGACGTGGGGCTAAATCTGAATGTTTCTAGTTCTAGGTGTAGTGTTAGTTCTAGTTTTAAATGTTATTTAGCATTAGATTGTGGTATATTTTTATTGAACGAAAGGTAGCACTAACACTAGATCTAAAACCAGAAACATTCATGTTTAGTCGTGCGTCTCTTCAGACGACTACACCTGAATGTTTCTAGTTCTAATGTTAGTTGTAGTGACAGTGGTAGGTAGTGCTAGTTAGCATAAGAACTCACTATGTTGCATATTTTATACATGCATATTATTGCATACGCACAGCTAAACTGTCTTCAAACGCACGGCTAAACCCGAATGTTTCCAGTTCTAGGTCTAGTGTTAGTTCTAGTTTTACACTATCATTAGAACTAATACAACACCTAGAACTAGAATCATTCGGGTTTAGCCGTCTTGTGAGACGTGGGGCTAAGTCTGAATGTTTCTAGTTCTAGGTGTAGTGTTAGTTCTAGTTTTACACTATTATTAGAACTAAGACAAGACCTAGAACTAGAATCCTTCGGGTTTAGCCGTCTTGTGAGACGTGGGGCTAAATCTGAATGTTTCTAGTTCTAGGTGTAGTGTTAGTTCTAGTTTTGCACTATCATTAGAACTAATACAAGACCTACAACTAGAATCATTCGGGTTTAGCCGTCTTGAGAGACGTGGGGCTAAATCTGAATGTTTCTAGTTGTAGGTGTAGCGTTAGTTCTAGTTTTAAATGTTATTTAGCATTAGATTGTGGTATATTTTTGTTGAACGAAAGGTAGCACTAACACTAGATCTAGAATCCGAAACTTTGTAATTCTAGGTCTAGTGTTAGTTCTAGTTTTACCCTAGCGCTATCGTTAAAACTAACACAAGACCTAGAACTAGAATCATTCGGGTTTAGCCGTCTTGAGAGACGTGCGGCTAAATCCGAATGTTTCTAGTTTTTGGTCTAGTGTTAGTTCTAATATTAACACAGAGTCTATTGACACAGTCTATTGATACACAGTGTATCTAACGACAGGTTGTTAGTCGTTATGCATCGAAAGGCTAAGAAAAGCAAGGGTATTTCATCCGAAAATATACGTTGTAATCTCACTTAGTTTAGTGAAAATAACTTTACTTTTAAGTTTATCAGATTGATTTTGTGCACGGCTATAAAATAAACAATTTGTAGGTTAGGTTAGACTTAATATGTCACAATATGTCAATAACTTTTCAATTATTTTTCAAAGCACACTACACACACAATTTTGGTGTCTGGATTAATTTTGGACTATTTTGCACTAAAAACGAAAGGACTTATTTCTTTATAATCGAAACCTTTTGCTCCTAATAAGGTTTTTTAAAATAATGATACTAAAAATGAAATACTGGATTTTAGAGCATACTTATTTGAGCATTATAGTAGAAACCACAAGAGCTGGCAGTGACAGATCGCTTAAAAATGGTATGAATCAAGATATGGACGTACGGATTAGATTATTTCACCACATACATTTAAATGTAGGTTATGTTAGTAATGGAGGTTATATGTCAAACATTGTCAAAGATATTAATTAATGATTTTCCTTTCAAAGAAAACATTTTCGGCTTGTGAAAACACTAACAGATTCATGACAACGCTCACAAGACGTTCCGATTTGAGGTTATAATTATAGAGTGACATCCCTTAGAAGAACAGACGTACTTTTTCGACGTGGCCATTTGAATTGTACAGCAGACATATTAAACTAATGCTATCTCTTTCCAACATACATTACTCTCTAGCGGTTTGTGAACTACGTATGGCATTTGTAAGAGCGGAAAATGATGACTTACTGCCAGCTCGCGTGGCGTCTACTATAGTTGATTTTTGTTAAAAGTTGACTTACACCCAAGGTTTATAGAACATAAGGTTACCTCATTCCCTATGCCTCTGTAGTATCGATTATTACCCCGCAAATTGACGTCACTGGTTCGATACAGTCAGAATTGGTCAGAATAAAAGATAGCCTATACGTGCCTATACTGTGGTACAGTCTATATAAAATATTTAAACCTCGCATCGTGTTGTGTTGTTCATAGAACCAGCTACGTCACTGACCCAACTTGCCTCTCAGAGGAGGAGAATCGGTATTGGGTAACCTTATGTTCTATAGACCTTGACTTACACCCTTTAGCTCTCAGGTACAGAATTAACCTTAAATTTCTAATTTCGCACTAGCGCCATCTCTTGTTGGATATCTGATTCAAATGACAATATTCAAATGAATACAAACATTCAATATTTTTGACAGACAATAATAACAGTTCTAATAAATATATTACAATACCTTTATCATACTCGCCATTAATTTCTTCGTTTTCATTAACTTTTGATCCTTCAAACTTCTCCCCCGTTTCCAAATCTTCAAAATCACCATAAAGTTCATCATCAGACTCTTTGAGATCGTCCAATTTTAAAAGTTCTTCCGCATCTTCAGATTCTTTCCATTTACCCGTTACGAAACGGTTAACAAGCAATTTTTTGCTATCTTCTTGAAGATAATCGATCGTTTCAATGTTCCATGGTTTATGTAAAGTTGATTCAATGATGTTTAAACGTTCCTTTTCCGATTTAAGACGTTCTTGTTCATGAGAAACAACTTTAAAAATCTCTTCGTCATCATTATCGCTTTCATCATTATTTTTGTTAAGTTCTGCATCCATTTGTGTTCTTAATTTTTTATCAAAAACTCCATAAACGAGTTTCATTAAATTCCTTTGTGATTGCAAGCGGTTTAAATATGATTCTTTAGCTTTTTCTTGTAAATTATCTTTCCAGTTTAATTCGTCATCAGAATTATCTTCATCAAAGTCATCTTCTTCATTTTGGTCAGAATCATCCCCTGTATTTTCTTCATCTTCATCAAGAATATCATCATTATCTGTATTAAAAATAACTTTTCTTCTTATTCGTCCCGAATCGAAAACTTCTTCAAATTCTTTTTCATTCAACTCTTTCGACTCCTTTAATTTTTCCAACTCAACCTTTTCTTCTTCCTGTTCCTTCTCAACATCCTCCGCGGTGATTCCAGCACTTCCCGTAAATAATTGCAACTCAGAATGTTGCATTTTAACATCTAAAGTTTCTTTCGTTTCAATTAAATTATTAAAAATGTGATGAGTTTCATCCCCTTCTCGTTTATTATGACTATGACTTCCCCCTAATTCCACGTAAACGGCGTCTTTATCATAAACGATTCCTCCAACCCCTGAAAACGGGGCGTAAATGAGTTTTTCCTTCTCAACAAGTGCTCGTTTTTTTATTGTTTCTGGCAAAGGGCACGGATCGGGTAAAAAACTCATTTCTGAGATTTTTGTGTCCCCAAATCCGGGAATGTGGACACAATTATTTTTATTTAAAGGAACCCCGCGAACGTAACCATACAAACAAACATTTCTATCGCATTTTGGGTTTTGACGAACGTTTTCTAAGCCTGTTATGTCTTCGTAACGATCGATGATTAAATAACTGTGATTTGTTCGCCAAGTTAATGGGCGAAATTTCATAACGGAAATAAATCTCCCCAAGTTTTTAATTTCATTTCTTAGGTATTCCCCGTGAATAATTCCTGACAAATAAAACAATTTTGCTCCTGGATAAACTTCGGTCCAAAATCGATGTTTCAAAACTTTCTTTGTATTCTTCAAAGCTTTATTGTTTTTAATCATATCTAAATGAGTTAAAATTCCCATAATTCTCGGCATACCATGCACTTGACATATATTTAGAAATTCAAAAACTTCCATTTCAAACCCAAAACTAGCATCACATAACAATAAAACTAAATCGGCTACTTTGGCCAAATCAATCATTGAATTTATATCGTTGTTACATTCCACTAAAGTAACTCTACGTTTTTTCCCTGTTACAATAGTGACGGGTCCTTTAATATCTGTTAAAGGACTCCTCGTAAACAATTTAATCAAATTATTAATTAAAGTTGTTTTGCCTACTTTTGGTGGACCCACCACGGCGATTAAAATCGGTGGGGGCTCAATTGGGGTTCTATCCACCAATGGTACATGTTGTTTCTTTGTATTTAAATCTTGTTTCCTTCGAAAACGCCTTTCTGCTCTTATAGCCGAGTTAAAAGTAAAAGCTTTTGGATTTTTCTGTTTATCACTCAAATTTTCTTGTTGTTTCTTTTTCGCATCCTTCTTGTCAGCTTTTCTTCCTGCCAAGCGCTTTCTGTGAGCTTTTTTCTTATCATTAAATTCTTCATTCATTTTTGCCACTTTAGAAAATGTGTTCAATATTAAGGTTATGTGTTGTGTCACATTTGAAGGTTATGTTTATAATCATAAAACTTATAAATGTTGTTTTATTTACAAATTTAATCTTTTTTATAAAACAAAGTGTTATATCACAATATATTTAAATTAAATACTTACATTAAAGATAATTATTATTAAATATATTTTTTTAGATTTAGTGCATATTGGGTTGCCTAATTCCTACATTTTTTATTATTAAACAAATCCTATAAATAAAAATGGTTTTTTATCAGTGTTTCAAAGTTCACAGTTACTGTTATTTTATGAAAACGAGCAAAAAATGGCTGGTATTGTATTAGGAAAGGTAGCTTTCGTTACTGGTAAGTTATTAAATAAAAATTACTCTCTCAATATTAAAGTAATTAAGAGGTTATATACAGGAGCTGCAAGTGGAATTGGGAAAGCAACTTGCCAAATATTAGCTAGGGAAGGTGCTAAAGTGATTGCTGCAGATAGAAATTTAATAGGTGCCAAAGAAACTGCAGCTTCTTTAAAGAACCAAAATGATCACTTGGGTGTTTTGGTTAATGTGAATGAAAAAGAAACAATTCAAGATGCTCTTGAGAAAACTGTTGAAAAGTACAGAGAACCACCATCTGTAATTGTTAATTGTGCTGGAATTACTAGAGACAACTTTTTATTAAAGTTATCTGAAGCTGATTTTAATGAAGTTATTGATGTTAATCTTAAGGTAAATTATAAAATATCAATAACGTGTGATAAATAATATTTTTTTGTAGGGTACTTTTTTGATGATTCAAACTTTCGCTAACGCATTGGTGGATAGAGGAATTAGAAATGGATCAATTGTAAACATTTCAAGCATTGTTGGAAAATATGGTAATTTGGGGCAATGTAATTACGCAGCAAGTAAAGCTGGTGTTGAACTTTTAACAAAAACAGCTTCAAAGGAGTTTGGAAAATTTGGAATTCGTTGCAATACAGTTTTACCAGGTTTCATTAAGACTCCAATGACAGAAATCATTCCGGATAAAGTTAAAAGCAAAGTGATTAGTACCATTTCTATTGGAAGATTTGGGAATGTTGAAGGTTTGTTTCTTTGTAACATATGTAAAGAAGTTATGAAATTGTTTTGCTTTTTTTTATAGAGGTAGCAGAAGTTATTTGCTTTTTATCATCTGATAAAAGTTCCTTTATTAATGGTGCCTCTATTGAGGTAACTGGTGGGATGTAAAAAGAATAAAATATAATTTTTATTTAAAATAAAATTTATTTACACTATACATTTATGCATAAAATAAAAATCAAAGTTATAAAAAAAAATTTGACATTTATTGAATAAAAGAACGTATCCAATAAAAAAAAACCTAGTCAGTCAACGTCGATATCGATCGTGGCGCCGCCAATAAACAAAACTGGAAATCAACGGAATCCCGTTGGCACACTTTGCGCGTGTTGGAGTCGCCCTACTTATCACTTCACAAACCGCTCTTGACGCGGACGGGTTCCGCAACACCATCTTCATCTTCGCCTTTTCATTTTTCGTTAAAACACTAATAAAAAAAATTACTACCTACCCCATAATTACCATTGCTTTCGTCCGATTTCACTATGTTATGTCATTTACTTTTTTTTGACATTTCTCGTCCGCAGTTTAACGTCAAAAAATAGTTTGCAACGCCAAAAAAGAAATTAAGAACCGTAATATTAAGAGAAGAAATTCGCTGATAGTAAATTTTGAACGAAACCTAAAAGTGTACGTACGAATAATTGTTTTTTTTTCTCGAATAAGTTTCCGGAAGACGTCGAGCAGGGGGCGGTGGCGTCTCCCTTGACGCCAGCCATTTTGGTTGTCCGTCCGGGTTTTTACGCTGTGGTAATTCGGTTTTGTTCTCCCCATCCAAATGGATACTCGCGTTTTCGTTTAAGGCGGTCCAAAATTCGTTTAAACGGAAAATGTAGTTGTTTTTAAGAGGAGATTCGCCGACCGAGGACTCGAAACGTCCGCCGCCATTTACAAGACCGTCGTGGTTTTAACCGAACCGTCGACAGGCAGCAGCAGCAGCGCCGCTAGTGTCCAGCCAGTGTGTGTGTGTTGTGTGTATAGCTCCCGTGATTTTCGTCATTTTCCTTTGGATAACTGGACGCATTACGCAGGTAAATGTGAAAATGTTGATGGGAACAACACGGAGATTAAGTACGATACATTTTCTACATGCGAAAAGCGACGATTTGTGTATTTCGTCGAACGGCTTTGCCCTCGACGTTGGAGTGTTAACCCGCGCCATGTTGTATTTTGTTGCGGGAGAAATCGTTTGGCCGAGATACGACGCCTCTCTTCGCGCCTAAATATTCGATTTTTCTTTTAACAATTTTCGTGGTTAAGTGACTAAGATTGGGGTTTTCTGGTGTTTTGGTATTGGTTTTTTCGTATTGAACTGTCGTAGGGATGCGGCGTCCGTTTTGTTTTCACTAATTTTCCCTTACTATAGCCTCTATAGAGCGCGGGCACATTCAAGGTCCTCGCTCTATCTTACTCTCTCAGACAATAACATTATAAATACGATCATAACCACACTTTTTTCACTTTACTTATTTATTTCAGTTTAGTACCCTTGAAGAAATTTAAAAAATATAAATTGTTTAACTTGGTTAATTTCCTCCTTTTTTAATTAACAATAACAATATTTATTTTGTTTTTTGTAAATTATTCACCTTGATTATTTCACCTTGACCAAAGAGAAACTCTTCAAATATTCTTTCATAACTGAGTCCTTCCATCTAACGAAAAAACTTTTATATGATTTCAGGGCTCAATTTCAACTGAAAAAGTTATTTGGTTTTTATGAATGTGACGTATGTAATTCATCTTGATCTTTCTTGTGAGGTAGATATGGTAAATAATAAGTCGAGGTGAGTATTAGAAGAATCTGTGTTATTTTAGGTGAGCATTGCTACCGGTTTTGGATTAATATTTTATATCCGTCATTAGGTGCACATAAAAGAAAATCATGGTGTTAATGTAAGTAAAAGGTGATGAAAAATAACACCAAAACAAGTAATATATCAAAATCATAAAATAATCACATATTTTTCAAATTTATGAACAGTGTGTCCTTCATTAATGGTATTAAGGGTTCAAGATGCACATTTTTCCTATACGAAAAGTTATAAATGGAAAACATTTCAATCAATTCCAGATGTTCCCACAATGAAGTACAACCATAAAGATGTTATTTTAAACGGTACTCTTCATCCTTTGTGTCCCAAACAGTCAAAAATTTTGTAACAGAATTAAAACGTTATAAAAATACACCCAGTAAAGGCCTTTGGAATCAATTTTAGCAAAATATGATAATCCCCCATTCCAGGGGTATAATGATACTTGAGAGTGCCCTCAGACATTAAAATATATTTGAGTGATGTTGCAGTATACAAAAACTTTCATTGCTAATATAAAAATAATACATTTTTTATTACTTTACAAAATAAGTAACACTTGCTTTAGCTAAATCACATTATGATATTCAGAAAAACTTCTTTTTTTCATCATAAATAAACATTGCATACAGTACATTTTGAGTGGGGTCTTGACTGAATAGCTTTGGCAGAATAATTTTCACAACTTCCTCTTTCTTTTCCAAAAGTAATCCAGTGCGAACCACGGTTCCCAAGTCTTACGTCGTCAGTAACAGAATAGCTGTACTTTCGTCTTTTGGGTAACTGGACTGGTGAACTTGCGCTACAACATTTTCGTGGACGCAGTAAATTTGTGTATTTATTTCTCAGATCTGTAGCTACAGAACAACGAAAATCTAATAGCGTCATCCTTTCCTCTTCACATTTGGAATATATGACAAAAGAATTGATGAAGCATATATCTGTAAAATCTAAGCAAAGCCTGTGCTACCACTTCTTGGAACAGTGGTCGATTGCATACACTTGTCGAAGTTGTAATCATCAATAACTGAAAGACAGCGCACATCAATTTTCGTTCCATTCTTTTGCATCCTTTTTACTGGTCTCTTCTGTTCCATGAAAATTAGAGCAAAATTTCACACACTTATTGTCCCTCCATTTGTAATAACTTATATCTAAATTTGAGATCCAGTAATCATAATCTCCTCTTTTCATTGGTTTATCATCTACCAAATTTTTTTTCATCTTTTTTGTGAGACCTTATTGTTCCACAAGTTAAGGTTCCCTTAATTTTCAGTTTTTCTAAAAGACGGATACTTGTAAAAAAAATTATCGAACTAAATCATTCTATTTTTACTCTACTCTATTATTTATCTGCTAAACACCCGAGGCTTATAACCCCTTTTTATGGGCTCCTTCATGCGATTGAATTGTTTTATTCGTGACCTCCCTTTGAAGAATATCATGATTCATCAACAGCCAACTGCCTAGTGCCATGATAATAACTGGAGAACTAACGGTTAAGTGCTTCAAAATGCGGACGGATTTTGTATAGTTTATCCATATTGTTCTCAGGAATAATGCTGTTATTGTTGACATGCAGATATGATAAATTCTCCTGAAACCTGTTATGGCTCATTGTTCGTATGACAAGTGGTACACCCAAGTCTTCAGCATTACTCCAGAAGAGTTTACAACTTGGCCAACTGTGCAGCAACTTTTCTTCTTTCAAGTTTAGCGTTTTATTCTTTTAGGTGGCGTCCAAATTACTTAAAATTAATTATTAATTATTAAATTAATTATTCCCTCTGGATAATTGTATCTCGGAATTTCAGTCTGTTTTTCCCGTTTTCTCCATTTTCTATCAATTTCTGTCTTGTTCTTCTTCTTGGGCCCTTTGCCACGTATTTCTACTACTTCAGTGTCATTTTCCCCATTTTGATTAGTTAGTTCTACTTCTTTATCTTCCAGCATAAGTACATCACTAACGCTAGTAATAACAATATCAACTTCTTCATTTTCTAATTCAACAAAAACTTTTTCAGTCTCAACCAAAAGTTCTTCATCAGTCAAAGCTTTGTTCAAGTACCAAAACGTATCTGTATTCGCTTTGCTCATGTTTACATCAATGTCAATATTGCACCTGTTATTATCCTGACGGTACTTTTACATACAAAACACAAAATGTAACTTTTTTCTGGATAAAAATAAGAAATGTTTGAAAATTGTCACAAATCACACCTAATAACCATAAACAAAATTCAGCAACACCACTTCTAACCTCACATCTGGATGAATAAATTTAAATATACCTAAAAATCCTACAGTTTGGATTGCGTCATTTTTTATACAGGTGCTTTCTTGTATAGTAGAAAGTACCGACAGTGTGTGTATATTTTTGCTATCCAGATTGTAATACAACTAATATGCTAAGTTTAATGTTCCCATCTTATATGTATTATGTCCATGTTATCATTTCGCTATGTTTTTCTGTTATCTCTGATCATTGTTTAAGATTCTGTAAAGTAAAGGCAGTATTAATTATAATCACGTCATCAGTAGCCCAGACTACGCCTTAACCTCCTTCAATTTATGCCTCCAAGAACTCGTACTCGTTGCAGCTCCTCGCCAATTCCTTACTCCAAAGCATCTTTATATTATTTTGCCATTGCATTCGAAGTTCCCTTTGGTCGATTTGAGACCAAAGGGAAGTGTCTAAGTCCTTTTATAACTCTTTTAAGTACAATCATGTTGTGGTAGTTGAAACACTACAAATTAGTAATTTTCTGGAAGAAAAGGACTTTATGCTTTTTAGTGAGATGATTTCTTCAAATATGTTTTTCCGACATAGAAACCAAAATTATATCTAGAATACCGAAAACACAATTAGTTCTTTTTGGTGTTCTTATATGTTAGTGTGTAATTTATATGGAAAGAATTTTGATTAAACTTTTTACTTAAGTTTACACCACCATTTGTGTTACATAGCTGAGCATGATGCCGGATATATATATTTTAACCCAAAAGCAAAATAAACAGATTCTTTCAATACTCATCTATTTGGTTCTTAGTGTAAATTTTCAATCATAATTTTAAAGCATAATGTTCTAAAATACTAATTACAATTTTATTTAATCCGTTTCTAATAATAATTTGTCGAAATGTAGGTTGAGATTCAATGCGGTATAATCCAACCAAGCCAAATTCAAGGTATAATTTGAACAATACTTGAACTATAAACTGAAGACATAAATCTTGCATTGGCCAGATTTTTTATATGATGGTGATACCTGTTTTTATGTAAATTAGATATATTTTTAAATTTTTTGATGCAGAATAATTAACAACCTTAAAAAACAGCACAACATTCCGAAACTATACTAACCTTGTATAAAGTAAAAAACTACAGTTAAAAAATTAAAATTGTTATCGTTATCACTGCATTCCAATTCTGAGTCAGACGAATTTTCTGAGTTATATTCTGCTTATTGATCGTCTGAATTATCAGTAATATTCTCATCATCTTCATCATCAATTTTACAATCTTCTTCAAACCAAAATCGCAAATTATCAGCCCCATCTGAATTAAATTATATAAATGCAAAATTCTTAACACAGGATAGTAGAAAATACATTGATTTTTAGTAACACCTTGTAAGAAATGAAGGTTTTGACATACACATAAGTATGATATCAAAATGAAATATTTAATAATTGGGGTTATTAATACTCTCAATGTGACTTAATTATTGTTTGTAAAGAGATTATTAATAAAAATGATGATGTTAAATAAAATTTCTTGTTGTAGGTATCACACATCAACATGTTTCTTCTCTAACAAAAGTGACCCCTGATTAAAAGGGGATGTTTGTAAATATCGTCGCCATCAGCCAGTTAATCGACAGGCTAAAATCACCATTGGCGACTCTCCTATAGCGGTTAAGTAAGTTTCTATTATATTTTTTTTACTGTAATTGATCCATTTCACTAAAAGATGTGATTAAAATAAAATTAAAACGCGATTATGCTTAATGAGTTCTTAAATTTTGTTCAATAACTTTGTAAGATCTGTGTTGAAGAAATCATTAAATGATTAAAGTAATGTTCTAAAAATTTGCTTAATCAATAAAAATTTATTTGTGTAGGTGATTGGCACAACGATGCAGCAGGTGGACGCACCGGCCCAAAACATTTCGGTAAGTTATTAAAACGGCGTTAATCGGCGCCCGTTTTCCCCTTTTTCTCGCTTATAAACAAACGCAAAAGGAGCGTACTACTACCGTGAAAATCTGGTAAAAAAAATGGTAGGCGTTCCAGGCGGCCAGACTAGACGGCGGCAAAGAGAAGGAACCTCCTCCACGAATGGAGGTGCCCATACAGCCCGTCAATGGCATCGTGCAGCCGCCGGTCCATCCGCAGCCCGAGCGACCGGGACGCGTCACCAATCAACTGCAATTCCTGCAGAAGACCGTGCTGAAGGCCGTCTGGAAACATCAGTTTGCATGGCCGTTCCATCAACCAGTTGATGCGAAAAAATTAAACCTTCCGGTAAGAAAACACAAAAATTTTTTGTAATAAATTATTTAGTTATTTTTGTATCAAAGATAAGTTGTTAAAAATTTAGATACAATTTAGATATGATATGATGTGGTTATCCGCATTGCACGTTATACGTAGTTTTATTAAGTAATGCTAAGAGTAGATGATGAAATTTATGAAAATAATCACAAAATGCAAATATAAAATGAAAAATTAAAAGTAGAACTTACTGTTATCTAAGATCTCAAAGGCGAACACAACACAAATAGTTTATTACATAGTGAAGTTTTCTTATTTGTATATAACTAATTGAAATCACTAGAACACATACGACATTATGAGAAGACAAGGTGATATTAGAAAAGAATTTATTAACGAACACGTTAAACCGAACTAAGCCAGAGAAATAAAACCTGTTCTAGTTTTATTTATAGCACATAAAAAGTAAAAGTTGAAGCGCTTGAAATAAGATTAAAGAAAATCGAAAATTGTAAATCCATTAATAAAAAATTTAATAACCAACAAATGTATTAAAAACAAAGTAGTATTAAACGATTTTAATTCTAGTTATTTGCAAGTTTAACAATTTATTATATTTTTATGTTATAGGATTATCATAGAATTATTGACCAGCCAATGGATTTGGGTACGATCAAAAAACGTTTGGATAATAACTATTACTGGTCGGGAAAGGAGTGCATACAGGACTTCAACACAATGTTCACTAATTGTTATGTGTATAATAAACCGGGCGAGGACGTTGTGGTGATGGCTCAAACGCTCGAGAAAGTCTTCCTGACGAAGGTCGGCGATATGCCAAAGGAAGAATTTGTGGTGGATTTACCGGCAAAAGGAGGAAAGGGTAGTAAAAAGAAAGTGAGTGGCGTAGGCGGGACGGGTGCGGGAGCTGCTGGTAGCGGCCGAGGTAGGCCCCCTTCAGTTGGAATTTCGTCGACCGTTACCCCGGTCATCGGTAGCTCAGGTATACCATTATCAACACAGGCACCTACGACGATACCCGGAAGTACGGCCACTACGACGATAGCGCCAGCAGCGGCGGCGGCGACACACAGTTCGTTACCTCAGCAGCTGCCGCTTCCCGGTGCCTACGGCGTTCCGCCACCTATGGCTCCTGCCGGAAATCCCATGGACACTTCCGGTATAGCCCCGGCGGTCATGCCCGCGTCCGTTTTACCTTCGCAACAGCCGGCTAAAGTCAAAAAGGGCATCAAGAGAAAGGCGGATACGACAACGCACACCGTTTACGATTACACTACACCTACGGAGGCGAAATCCGCAAAGATATCAACGCGGAGAGAATCCGGACGGCAAATTAAAAAACCAATCAGACCGGAACTTGACGGTCTTGTACCTTATAAGCAATCAAATATTAGTCCCCTTGGCACGAATTCGACGTCGACGCCTCAACACGGTGCCCATAAACCAAAAGAAAAACTCTCGGATCCTTTAAAGTCCTGTAACGATATTTTAAAAGAGCTGTTTTCAAAGAAACACTCTAGTTATGCATGGCCGTTTTATAAGCCGGTCGACGCGGTCTTGTTGGGTCTTCATGATTATCACGAAATTATTAAGAAACCGATGGATTTGGGGACGGTTAAACAGAAAATGGATAACAGGGAGTACAGGACGGCCCAAGAGTTCGCCGCTGATATCAGACTGATATTCACAAACTGTTACAAATACAATCCGTCGGAACACGATGTGGTCGCGATGGCGCGCAAACTCCAGGATGTGTTCGAAATGAGATTTGCTAAGATCCCTGATGAACCGATTAGTCGGCCGTCTATGGGCAGTAGTAAATCAGATTCAAGTTCGTCAGGGTCTAGCTCGGAGTCGTCAAGCGATACAGATGATTCTGAGGAGGAAAAACGAAATAGACAACTTAAATTATTAGAAAAAGAGGTATGATTTATTATTATTGTTACTACTTATTCGTTCCTATATACATGTTCCCTTTGATACATTTTAATTGTTTGATCTTTGATTAGTTGATTGGTTTACAAGAAAAAATGCGTAAATTGGTAGAGGAAAGTTCGAAAAAGAAAAAAGAGAAGAAGAAGCACAAGGAGAAAGATAAAACAAAGAAGCTTGTGAATAGCAGTAGTCTGGGTAAGCCTGGGGCCCACGTGGCCCAAGCCAACAAGGCCAACGCGATAAATACGGACAGCGTTGACGACAGCATAACCAGCGTGGTGTCGGGGGCTGATACGAAGATACCCGGCGGTGATCAAGCGCCTGGTCGAAACTTCCTATTGCACCACCCTGCCACAGCTGGCGCCAACGCTGCCAAGCCGCCTAAGACCAAAGGTGAGCTTGATGTTCACATTTTCACTCGCATTTTTTGTACATCAGAATTATATTCAAAGTAACTAAAGGTTATATAAAAATATTTATTTGAATATAATTCTGGTACTTAAAAAATGTATCTATTTACATATGCGTTTATAAAAAATACTACTTAGGTGTGAGAACACCCAAACAACAATCGGCACCATCGGCAAAAAAACCCAAACCGACCACAAAGGGGGCTGGCCGAAAAAAATCGACGACCCAATCAAATCCTCCGCCATTCGATTCGGACGACGAGGATAACGCACGTCCTATGTCTTATGATGAGAAACGGCAGCTCTCCTTGGACATCAACAAGCTGCCTGGTGATAAATTGGGCCGCGTCGTCCATATCATTCAATCGCGAGAGCCATCCTTGCGCGATTCCAATCCCGACGAGATCGAAATCGACTTTGAAACGCTGAAACCGTCGACGCTGCGTGAGCTCGAAAGCTACGTAGCGTCGTGTCTGCGAAAAAAGCCACGTAAGCCCTACTGTAAGTTCCGTTACATTTGCCTACGAAACAAACAAATAAAAAAGTTTTGAAAATCATCACACGATACACACAACGTCGAACGGCGCTACAAAAATATTTTTTGTAGTACAAAAAGAGGCCGGTCACCCAGTGTTGTTGATCGTTTCCCACCATGAAATCAAATTCTCAAAAATCTCTTCTTTACTTTTTTTTTATTAAAAGAAAGTCAATTGAAGAGGTAAATATTTGTGGAGGGAAACGTTTTTATTTTTGGCGTATGTAATTGGAACTGACATGTTCATATTATTTTTTATTTTCTCTTTATTTATACAAGGTGTCTCGAGATGTGATTTTGAAAATGTGGATTCAAATAGTTCAAGAAATTGATTATCAATTTAAAAAAATAAGGTGTTTTTGTTTCAAACATAAAATTTTCTTGGAATGTCGTGTATCGAAAAATCTTAAAATCTCAAATACAATAAAAAAAAATTAATACATTTTGTGTTAGTAAGAAATGTCTTGGGCAAAATTAGATTTATATAAAGCAGATTCAAAATTTAATTAATTTTCGTTCACATATACTGAGACACTGTGTATAATAATAAAAGCATGGTAGAAGTTGCTCTCTGGTGTTTTTGTGGGTATATTAATTGGAACTGTTTTTAAATGAAAATTAACAGGTGCCGCTTATTGTGTTGTTATAGATACATCTTGAGTATACAAAGATATTTCATTATTTTATTAATATATTCCATTTGTATAATCAATTGTTTTAGATTAATAAAAATAACGTACTTTTCAATTGAATAAGTTAAAATTCTTATATTGAAAATTGATTATTAATCTGGTTTTACAATAATAATTCATTGAACAAAAGGAGTAAAAAGTAAATTAATCTTTTTCGTTTTTGTTTATATATTTGTTATCTCTTTATACTCAATATAGTATCGATAAATTTCGCGCAGTTATTTCGATGTAAATATTAATAGTATTTCCCATTATTTTAGATTCCGGTGTGGTGCATTTTTTTATTGCTTTTTCCAGGGCTGGAAATAACTTAACATAGAATTAAACAATATATACAAATAACCCAAACCTCCTCTACATGGTTTTGCTTTAAAACGATGCACTACGACGATTTTAAAATACTTGATTTATTTAAATTTTATTTCAAAAAAGCATGTTCTACCATAATCCAAGTCAGTACTTTATAACGCTGGTGACAGGTATTCTATGGATTCTTAAATAAACTCTATTCTTGTTTCAAATTTTAAATTAGGTTTTCAAAAAAATCGTAGTAGTTTTTCTTCTTTTTCTTTTCTTTAAGTAGTTTAATTTACCCTTATATTCTCTTCCTTGAGATCTATGACGTTTAATTTGATCTTTAGATAAGAAGCAACCTGGAAAGACAAAGGATGAACAAATGCAGGAGAAGAAACAGGAGCTTGAGAAGAGGCTGAACGATGTTAACGATCGAATCGGATCAGCTAATATAAAAAAGATAAATAAAAAGGGTAATTTTATAATATTTTTACATTGAAATTGATTAGCATGCTATCAAACTAGTAAAAAGTTTAGCTAAAAAACTTAAAATATTAATAACAACTTCCTTAATTTTTAATTTAACCAAATTTTATTGATTGAATTCATTTTATAACCTGTTCTGCCAGGAAAAAATATACTGTATGTATACAGTAGATATAACATTTACCATACTCGTTTTACGTTCTACAGCTACTCCAAGCGATTGTTATCGCGTTCGTTTTATAGCAAGGCTTAAAACCTCTCTCAAAACGAATGTGTACACACTCTGATTTTCTCATTTTGTTGCTTCAAAAAAAAAATAGAAAGCAATGCAGTTCTTTCTTGACTATACTCCTTTTCTGTGTTTATGCCTAGCCTTGTTATCACTTCTGTTATTAAAAATATCGTGTGGTAGTTTCCCCTAACTGTGTTGTTGTGTGGAGTGTCTTAATTGCTACTTGGTGCAATATTAATCCTTGATGACTTAAAGCTTCAAAAACGAGTGATGTGACTTTCTGTGTAATGCAGAAAGGGCTGCTAATCAAATCAAAATAATAATTTCAAATCAATACATTGAATAATTTTCTAGAAATCACAGTTGTAATACACTGTTCCAACTTAAGTACTTACTACTAATTTAATCTATTAAAAAAAAACTTGCTTTTTTGTGTTCTTCCTTTCCTTGTTGGTTATGAGCTTCTTTTGTAGCTTCAAGCTCCGTCATTCTTCATTGAAAAAGGAACTTTCAGAAAAACAGTTCGCTGCTATATTATATCTGCTTTTTAGATATTCAGGAGCGTTGAATCGAGTTTCGACGTCGTATATGTTCAGCAAAATAATACAGACAAGCTTTTTCCTGTCCTTTGTCAACGTAGCGAAAATACATTCATAATGAACATTATTTTGAATGATTTCTCCTTTTCTAACTTTTTGCAGTATAAATAATATACTCCTTAAGTCATTGCAAAAGTATTGTATCTATTAAATTTGACTCTGTAACTGTCATTAAGGGGTATAATAACAAGACTTAACATATGTTTGTTCATCACTAATAAGTTCTTCTTCAAATCCAGCTGGAGAATAAATATGAAAATAATATCGCAGTGTTTCAACCAGAAAAACAAATTCTAATAGTTCGTGTCATTTTCGAGAAAGAATCGCAAGCTGTTCCATTTTAATATAATTTGTTTCATCCAACCATTCTTGCTGAAATATCGATCTGTAAACTCAGGGTACTGGTACAATGCATCTCTCCATCGCGTTAGATTTAGAAATAAATATTGATTACTATGAAAATTGTTATGAATGGGTTTATTTTATTTATTCTTTTATTTTGTAGATGAAGTGAATAAGGTAGATCAACCAGGAGCCGCAGGACCCGGTCACATGTCGAGCAGCTCGAGCAGTTCAGAATCGGATAGCAGCAGTTCGAGCATGTCGAGTAGTTCGAGTGATTCGAGCGACAGCGAAGCAGGTTAGCTTCTTTTACGCACATACAAAAAATAAATCGCGTAGTAGTAAAATAATTGATAATTACTATAACTAAATGATTTTAAGATGAAAAGATAAGAATTTTTACTACAATTAAGTTGAATGGTAGAGCTTTTAAAAAAAAAACATTGGAATGGACGTACTCAGTGTGCCATCCGTATTTAACTACTATTATTTTTCCTTTTGATTTTATTTTTTTAATTCATTCACTGTTAAGATTTTAAATAATTTAAATTAGAACTATTAACTTTAAATTTGTGCCTCGTGTTCATCAAGTTATTACTAAACAGCAACAAAAAAACGTATCATTACTCGTATTTATTGCAATCCTCATTAAGTTTAAGGTTTTTTTCAATTATGATTTTTTTTAAATAAGTAAAGTTGATCAAGTTTTTTTTTAGGAAAAAAGTAAAAAATTAACGATACGTGATTTTAGCTAAAAAAGTATATATAAATATATATATAAAAATGATATAAATATTATAAATATTATACATAGTAAAGTGTGTAAGTAATTATTATGATTGGTAAGATTTTGAACGCAACAAATTAGATGAAAAAACAACAAGGATCAAAAATTATCTTTTGATGAAAGATAATAAAAAAAAAGAGGTGCTATCGAAAATTATTATGATCAAAGATTTATAAATTTTTATTGTGTCTGGGCAATTTTTATATCAATTTAAATAACTATACTTCTCTATTAAACAAATTAAAAACTATTTGTGATTATACTAAATGATTATGTTAATATTTTCGTTGCTGGTTAAAAAGAGCTTGAAAAGCTTGTTGTCTTGAACGTAAATTATAAATTACACAAGAAGATATGAATAGATTGTATGAGTACGCATCTTATCAATTAAACGGGTTTTTTCGCGCAATTATGTCCGGTGACGTCTAATTATTTTTTAAATCCGAAAGAGATTTAAATTTTCTATTTGTGTTATTAAAAGTATTGAAGTTACAAAACCTGCTATATTTTGAGTTCCCATTATTCCACATGGGGGTTCTCGATTGAGAGCGAAGGTAAAATAAATTTCGGTTATAACTTTTGAAGTCATAAAAATGTGTTATTACTTTTGCAGACATCCAAACAGGCTCATTAGAAAGCTTCAACATAGCCAAGGATTTAATAAATTAGTGTTTTAAAAATGTATTCCCATGTTAATACTGCCGACTCAAATTTAGGAAAAATAAAATCATGGTCCTTTTAAGGTAGTTTTATTGAACACCTTTTGATTACAAGTTGAAATCGTCCCAACTGATTAAAACTAACTGTATTAATATGTGTACCACCAAACCACAGTTGCTGTATTAACATTACAAATTGCATGTTAATTGTAATACTTACTAACGAAAATCTCGTGTGCTGGGAGGTAATAACACTTTTAAAGGACCATGATTTTATTTTCTATGTATTACTATTATTTAAAGTTTTATCATTAGCTAAATCCAGGCTTTTTTTAAATTTTTACAATTACTCTGAATTGATTATGTACTTCATAATCATATCATCCTATAACAGCTGCCAAACGACGATGTTTTGCATGCGTTCTGTAGACTGTTTTGCATCTCGCTTAACGTAAGTTCGAAAATACGCGCAATACAAAATAATTATAAAATAATAGTGTGTAATATTTAATTATTTTTAGAAACATCTTACGTGTTACACAGAGTGGCAACAAAATTTGAACTTCGTCCCATGTTTGGGTCAATGTTTTCTATAAAATCTGCATTTCTGATGCATCAGTCAGCAGGTCGACACTTAGAAAAGGTACTTCAAAAGTCAGTTGTGGCTTGAAAATGTTATAGGCTTGACTCGGTTGTTTAGCCTGATATAAATATATGAAATATAAAATTTAAACTGTTTCACCAATCACAGTGAATTAATGCTGCAAGCCAAACTCGTACACTGGAGTAATAATACCTTAAGGAAAAAAAGGTAAATTGATTTTCAGCAATTTATTAATTGCATACACAAAATACAAAAATTTATTCACTAATAAAAAAAGCTCCTCATTTTTCCTCTCCATACATATGGCTTACCATCTGACCCAAAAATGTTACATTTACTTTCATCAGTAAGTTTTCCAAAATGTTTATGTTTTGATTCTTTTTAGTGATTAACGGGTTTTTCTCGCCTTTCTACCTATGTAAATTAGCATTATGGAGCATGTTTCTGATGGTTGACGCACTTTTTTCCCTACTATCCGTGCAAAAAGTCAAGGCCCCTCACTTTAGAGATCGATATCTTCCTAACCGCTCGATGGAAAAAATTGCTGTAAAGTTTATTGTAATCAGATGCGGTTATTTCGAAAACGACCTGTCGAATTTCAACGCGGTTTTTACCAAAATATGTCAAATAACGCGAATTGTCGGATTCCGTTATCAGTTTTTCAAAAATAAGGCTCCCTAATTTTTTACGAGCGATTTAATGGAATTACAAATTAAAGAGAAACAGAAATCAGCTATGCGGAGAGAGGAAGGTTCCGTCCAATCGGAACAGATGGTGCGTCCCAGACAGTACGTCGCGTCTTTATCTTGCCTACATAAAGAAATAAGGCGCGACGTCCTGTCTGGGACGCACCATCTGTTGCGATTGGCCGGAACCCCCGTCACCCCGCAGAGCTTATTTCTGTTTCTTTTTAATTTGTAATTCCATTAAATCGCTCTTAAAAAAATAGGGAGCCTTAATTTTGAAAAACTGATAACGGAATCCGACAACCAACATTATTTGACATATTTTTGTCAAATCCGCGAGGAAATCCACCCAACCGTTTTCGACATAACGGCGTCTTACTAAACCGCGATTTTCCGCGAAACTGTATGAAATATCGAAAAAATAAAATATGCCACTCATTGAGAACACATCAGACTACCACCTGTTCAAAATTCAAATTTTTTCGTACGATAGTTTTCGAGAAAAAAAATCGCAAAGTTGATAAAGTTGCCAATTCCGTAAAAAATCGGGTACATTTTTCATTTAACTCGCGGTAAAAAGAAAACCGTGGATCCGAAAATTTTCAGATTAACATAAGTTACGTAGAAATGTTCAGTGATTACAACAAACTTTGTTGCAATTTTTTTTATGGAGCGGTTGCGAAGATATCGATCACTAAAGTGAGGGGCCTTGACTTTTTGCACGGATAGTAGTTTATTCTCAGCAATAATTGTGGATAGTGAAGCGCTTTATTATATCGTGCACCGTAGAATGGTTTTTGTCTATAATTTTTGCAATTTCTCGTACCGATTTTCCTTCCTGGTAATGTTTAAGTTCCCTCTTTGGGATGTTCTATCATCATACCAGCTTTTAACGGTTAGTTTATTAGCAACATCTGTACAATAGTTATAAACACCTCTGTCCTTCTTTTCTACCATTTTTGAACAACTTTTTGGGACACTTTTCAATTCTATTTTATTTGATAGTTACATCCATATCTTTTTCCGGTAAATGAGTTACTAGTTTGTTTTGGTAAGACTTTTATCAGTCCAAGTACAGCAGACTCTCCTCCACCAAATGCTGGTTTCTTTATAGTTGATTCTCTTACTTTCTTTGCGGTTGTTGCATTTTCTTCTTTATCCGCTGATGTACCAGCTGCACTCGTCGATTGTTTTCCTTGGTATGGTTCAAATTGCATCAAATACTCAAAAGGTTCGCAGAGGCACCACATCTTGTAACTGTATCATATCGTTTCAAAGTCTTTCACACTCAGCCTTTCTTGGAGTTCCGAGTATTTCAAAAATTTTGAATTAAGCATATGCATCAATTCTCGTAGTTTTGCAAATTTGTCGCCCGGAGGAAACTAGCACAGGAAACTGCACAATGGAGATACCTTTTTATCATTTCGAATCTATTTCTTCTCATAATATTCATTAGTGCCATATTGCAAGATTCGGTTCCTAACTCCCACCACATTCTACATCTAGTAACAACACAATAGAGAGTATGGCCCAAAACCACTTTATTTCTTCATTGGAAACTCGGAAATTAAATTCACCTTTTGCTGTGCATATAACGTCGTTACTTCTGCCAAAAATGATGTAATATTATCATCAAGAACAAGTTCAAAACATTCCATCGGATTAGAAGGAATGGGTGCTGATTGCATCAGTTGCTTAAAGTTCGGAATTCAGAAATAAGATCGGATTTTTGCCAGTTTTTTTTTTGGTAACTTCGTTTGTATTTCTGACAAAGGTTCATTGTCACTATTTCGACTCTTCGTCAGTGTCGCTATCACCAATTATGAAAGTCCGTCCTTGAGTTGTAATTTTCTTCATGAAGCTGTCGACCATTCTATTGATGTCGTTGCAGAAGTCTTCATTGCCGCTATCTTTGGCACTTTCAGCACCATCATCTGGTTGTGACTAACAACAAAACGTGGTGGGAGGAAAAATCCCATTATTGGAACTGTGGGCATAGACGGGTTAATTTAGCGCTTAATTCGTTATTGTCCGAGTTTCGCTTGTGCCTAGTTTTTGTACTGTTTTCGTTTATTTTTTTATTACACTGAATAAATTGTTTTTGGAATATTCAATTAATAAATTACGGAATATCAATTTACTTTTTTTTCCTAGCTGTTAGTTGGAATATTCTTTTAGTAGTGTTATACTGCAGCATACACTATCTAATATGTAGTTGTGCGACGTCAATAGATTCACAATAAATTTCGTTATAATACATATACCGCTGTCACTCTGTTTCCCTAATTAACACACAATTTTCCTAAACTTAATCGACCTAATGAAACTTCCGTAGGGTTGGCATCCCTGGTTATAAGAGTCAAATTGATTCCCTTGAAGAACTGGTAATCATTGAATTTTTAAATAGTTACTAATTAATTTTATTATTGTCAATTACAGTTTCTTTACCCAACTATGCAGAGATGTAATATTATTTTTTAATTTATACTTTTTGAAATTTGTGTCATTTTGTCGTCGATATCACTCTTAAGGAAAGCAACTCCAAAAAACCTTGGTCTGACTTCGAAAAATCATTACAATGACAACACCTTTTAATTATAAAATGAAGTATAGATATTTATTTAAAAGAAAACTATTAATTTTCTTTGATCAAAATAATTTTCAATGGTGTAAAACAAGAAAAATGACATTTGTAAATAGTATTGTTTTAAATTTATTCCCCACGAAAAGTGTGTATTTCGCGCATTCAAAAAAAGCGAGATTTATAAATAAAAATATATATATATTATACATATAATATAAAAAAAGTAACTTTATGTGCACTACCGAATAGTGTTTTTTTTTTACGTTTTTTGTAAAAACCGTAACGATGAGAAACACTTTTAAAATTTAACCCCAAAAACACCAACAAAAAAAAATTGGGGTAAGTTGTAAAAATGTATTTCTTTCAAATCGTTCGTTTCAAATGGTGTTCTTTTGGGAAATTTTTAGCTTTAAAAAATCGTTTTGAACAAAGTATATAATAATTATTAATTTTAATGAATTTGTTTTTAGAAAGTCTAAAAGAACACCTTTATCTTTATTACCACATAAATACACACACACGCTCACACGAAGAGAATTCACGTCTACACAAAACACAAATCCCGTATTTAAGAGTTTTTATCAGTTATTACTATCTTTTGTTTTGTTTTCCTTTTTATATTTTTTAATTGCATTTAAATGCCCGGTGCTCCTTCCGCCGTGTTTTCCCCTTTAACCAGGAGGAAATCGAGCGTGGTCGAAAAAGCTTAAGAAAAAGTTGTAATCGTAAAAAAAAAGGAGAAATTGTAGATTTTGTTTGTTTGAAAAGATATTTGTCACTCTAAAATTGGTTGGCTAAGAAAACTAGGTTGGTTTAGAGTGGAGGGTGTTTTTCTTGTAATTAACTAAAATGATGTAAGAAAAATGTTAAGATAATGAGAAGCTTGAGTGCACATAATGGTGTGGAGTCCGGCAGCTATCGTACATCGGCCATACAGTGTTAGCTATTTTGTATTTTATGTGTAAGGGGGGCAGTGGCAAGACTTTTAAAAAAAGAAACCGCGCGATTTTATTATTTTTTAGTAGGAATATTTATTATAATCTATTATTAATCAAGTTTTTCATAATTATTATCGGCCAGACGGTTAAAAAAGATTTTTTTAAAAGATTCTTTTTTCGTTTTCATTGATTTCTAATTTTTTTGAAGCAGACAATGTGTGTGGCGGCTATTTTTGTATTTAACTCTAATTAATTAATTCTAATTAAAAAAAAATACAATAAGAATAAACAAAAATAAAATTAATAACATTAAAGATTGGTATGGTTAGAACATTTTATCAGGTGTCTTCAAAAATTAGCATGAATAAATGGTATATTGTTGTATTTTTTGTTGTTGACTGTATGGTTACGGTAAAAACGATTAAATCTTAAATCGAACTTGAAACGATTTAAATAGAAGAGCAAAATAGAAAATTTAATATTTAAACAAGATTTGTAACGATTTTGTTTATGCTGCGGCTTCCACTCACATTGTTTGTGCTCAGGCAATATCTAAGATATAAAAAAAACTTGTAAAAATAAGATGAACCGAATGTAAAACAATCTTTTTTTGAAAAAAAAATTACATGCACAAGTTAATTTTTTTACTAAAAATAAAATGAGAGGTTAATTCTTGTTTGTATGTACTCGAATTTTTTTATTACATATAAATATATTATTATATTCCTATTTTAACCTGGCTTGTGTTTTTTATTTCTCTATTTCACAGTTTATTTTTCTTTTCTTTTTCTTTTGACTTAAGTGTACGTAGGGATCGAGACGATGATGACAAAAATATATATGTAAATAATTATCCCGAGATTATGATCGCACTGGTTCGATAATATACATGTTTTGTATATAAAAATCAAGATGTTATTTTATTTCACACACTTTCCACCTTCGTAAATAGTCTTTTCGTCCGTCTTGCCACCGCCATCCCGTGGTGTTTTTATTTTCAAATAAAAAGGGAAATGAAACGATTGGGCCTTCGAGACTCCTCACCAGAGACGTACACTCCGGCCGCTTGTCACATCTAACGTTCCTGGTGTACTTAAAACAGGTTTTTGTAGGTGACAATAAGCCCCCTAAGAAAAAAGTTAAAAAGTCTCCAAATCCGGCCAACAATGCCACCAACAATCCGACAATGGTGAGTTATTTCTAACATTTATAAAATCATTACTTATTTTCATTAAAATTATTAATTTTTTATCATTATTAAACATTTTTTAGACTAACCTATATGACGTCTTGATTAAGGGTTTTTGTCTGTTTGAGTTAAAATTTACTCCAAAAACTCTCTAATCATAACAAGACTAATCCGTCAACATTTAAACAAATCCAACAAGAATTTCAACTGTAATTCTAGTTTTCCCAGAAACTTTGATAAAAAAATTATATCTAGAATTATGGTGGAATTCTCTCCAATCCGAATCATACTTTTGGTGTAGTTTAGACTTTTTTAGTTAATAGTGTTTGAAGTCCTGCTGTTTAATACATACCCTATTATTTCCGATTTTGAATTTTTATAGTTAATCTTAAAAGTTTATGTAGCCTATGTTAACAAAAAATCGCGTCGTTTTAATACAGTTTTGATTTGTTTAGTTAGTAACGCTAAAAGTGTTTTCAACACATCTACTTTTTTGTGATTTCGGTGTTTAACCTCTACCCTATCTTATTATGTACCTTATTTCAACACAAGACCGCTTCGTTTTCAAAAATATTAATGTTTCGTTTAATTATTTAATAAATACGTTTTTCGACATTTTATTTTGGGTTTCGTGAATTCTTCGTATTCACTGTTTCGTTGTGTAGATTATAAGTTGTGCAGTGAATTTCACTTACGATGCAATATACAAAATATATTTCCATAGAAAAAAGGAATCTTTGTCCCACATAAAATGCAACATGTCAATATAATTTGACACTACACTAAAACCTTGATATAACGGATCAATACAGAACGCAGTGTCCGTTATAGCTCAATAAAAATATACAACAATCCAGCGCTGAATAACAAATAAAACTAGACTAACACTAGAACTAGAAACATTCCGATTAGCCCTACCTCTCTTAACATGGCAGTAGGTAGCACTATGTTGCATACTTTTATTGAAAAATTTAGCCGTGCGTCTGAAGACGCACGGCTAAACCCGAAACTTTCTACCTCTAGTGTTAGTTATAGTTTTTATTGTTATGCTGCGCTAGATTGTTGTATATTTTTATGAACTAAAACTAGAACTAACACTAGACCAACAACAAGAATCATTCGGGCTTAGCCGTATGTCTCTTAAGACGGCTAAACCCGAATGTTTCTAGTTCTAGGTTTAATGTTAGTTCTAGTGACAGTGCAAGTATAAAACTAGAACTAACATTATATCTAGAACTAGAATCATTCGGGTTTAGCCGTCCTTAGAGACGTGCGGTTAAACCCAAATGATTCTAGTTTTTGATATACAGGTGCCCATTATGTATGGAATATAGTATATATCTTGGTAGGTATCAACTTTATAAAAAAACATTTTATACAAAAGTTGTTTAATATTTGATTTGTCATAATAAGACACCATTCAATTGTTTTTATTTCAGAAAACAAATGAGCAACGAATAACATTTAATTTTTTTTAAATGGCAATGTACCCTTTCGTTAGGCTCATTTGATAGAGATTTTTTTTCTCTTTACGATGACGTAAAATTTTAGTACCCTTATACTAGAAAATTTTTGAAAAAAATGTAAAAACAGTTTATTAAGTTAATTTTGCCAATAACATGAATCTAGATATCCGAAATCTTATTTGTCCTAACAATTGAATGTAAGCTATTGAATGTGACAGAATCTTGTTTATTTAAATAAGTTGGTAGATCAAAAAAGAAAAATGGTTCATTTAACAGAAACTGAACGCATAGAAATTTTAATTATGGTCGGTTATGGGGATCGCAAACGAACACAATTAGAAGTATGTGAAATTTTCAATGAGCGTTATCCACATCGAGAACCAATCACTCAATCAGTAGTTAGCAAAACTTCGAAACGTTTTAGGGAAACTGGTAACGTTAAAGATCTGCCAAAGACTGGTCCGCAGAGATCTGCAACAGATGAAGATAAAAAGATCGATATTCTCATAGAAATCGAAGAAAATCCAAACATTTCAACTCGTCAGTTATGTTTAAACCATGCTCTAAGTAAAGGTTCAATACACAAAATATTACATGCAGAAAATTTACATCCGTACAAACCGACTTTATTGCAAGAATTATCCGAAGATGACTACGGTCGACGTGTTGAATTTTGTGAATTTATGATGGAGCGAATCAACAGCAATCCAAATTTTCTCAATAATATGGTTTTCTCTGACGAGGCTACGTTTTGTTTAAATGGTAATGTAAATAAGCAAAATTCTCGATATTGGGCCGCTAAAAATCCCCATTGGATGATTCAAAATCATACTCAAACACCACAGAAATTAAACGTATGGGTGGGAATTTGTGCAGATCACATAATTGGACCTTTCTTTATTCGAGGTACTCTAACTGGTCACCGTTATTTACAATTATTGCAACAGCAAATTATCCCAGCTTGCCAAGAAAATCTTGATGATCTTTGGTTTCAACAAGATGGGGCACCGCCCCACTATCATTTAGATGTACGCCGATATTTAGATACGGTATTTCCGGCCCGTTGGATAGGCAGAAGAGGGTCTGTAGAGTGGCCACCCCGATCTCCGGATCTTACACCTTGCGATTTCTTCTTCTGGGGATATTTAAAATCTAAAGTTTATGTAAACCGACCTCAAAATCTGACAGAATTAGAGCAACGAATAAAAGATGAAGCTGCAGCTATTTCTCCCAGATCGCTAAGAAATTCTTTTCAAGCCTTTTATGATAGATTGGGCCACTGCCTTGCAGTTAATGGTGAACATTTTGAACATTTATTGTCGTGAAAACCATTTTAGTGCTAATTTCGTTTTGTCTTCAAAGTTTAATAATTTTCATTTACACTAATTTTTAGTTTATTTGTTTTATTTTGTATGTAGATTTAATTTACGGTAATAATTCGAGGTAGTTGACGATCTCGGATATCTAGATTAATGTTATTGGTTAAATTTTCTTAATAAACAATTTTTACATTTTATGCAAAAATTTTCTGATGTAAGGGTACAAAAATTTTACGTCATCATAAAGAGAAAAGAAATCTCTATCAAATAAGCCTAATAAAAGGGTACATTGCCATTTAAAAAAATTACATGTTATTCGTTGCTCATTTGTTTGCTGAAATAAAAACAATTGAATGGTGTCCTATTATGGCAAATAAAATACTAACCAACTTTTGTATAAAATGTTTTTTTATAAAGTTGATACTGGCCAAGATATATACAATATTCCATACATAATGGGCACCCTGTAGTGTTAGTTCTACATAGTAACAGTGCTGGTGTAAAGCTAGAACTCACATTAGACCAACAACAAGAATCATTCGGGCTTAGCCGTATGTCTCTTAAGACGGCTAAACCCGAATGTTTCTAGTTCTAGGTTTAATGTTAGTTCTAGTGACAGTGCAAGTGTAAAACTAGAACTAACATATCTAGAACTAGAATCATTCGGGTTTAGCCGTCCTTAGAGACGTGCGGCTAAATCCAAATGATTCTAGGTTTTGATATAGTGTTAGTTCTACATAGTAACAGTGCTGGTGTAAAGCTAGAACTCACATTAGAACTAGAATCATTCGGCTTTAGCCGTCTTTAGAGATGTGCGGCTAAACCCAAATGATTCTAGTTCCTACCTCTCTTAATATGGCTGGTAGGTAGCACTAGCTAGCATATCACTATGTTGCATACTTTTATTGATCTAAAACTAGAACTAACACTAGACCTAGAAGTAGAAAAATTCGGGTCTGAAGACGCACGGCTAAACCCGAAACTTTCTACCTCTAGGTCTAGTGTTAGTTCTAGTTGTAATTGTTATTCAGCGTTAGATTGTGGTTTCTTTTTATTGAACGAAAAGTAGAACTAACACTAGACCGAGGACCAGAAACATTCGGGTTTAACCGAATGACGGAAACTCAGTTATAATAAGGACGTCACCTTTTCCAAGCAAAACTTTTCCTTTGCAAAACTGCTCAATGCCTGGAGTATTAAGCTATGTTACATTTTGTGTGGGACAGTGCAAGTACATAGTAGTTTAGTAATTATAGTTACTGCGTTGATATATTGCGATGTATATGAAATTCCCGGTATAAAACTAAATACACTTGTAGATGCTCCTAGATATTCCTCAATTTCCTTTGTTTATTCATAAGTCTATATGTTATTTGCATGTCAGAATTCGGCCAATGAAGTAATTGTTTTAATCAGAAGTTCGCTGTGTGCTTAAATAATCACAACGCAATCTTAGTATTGTTGTGATCATTTAAGTTTACCTATAACAAAACTCGTTTTTGTTAAAAAATTTAGGAGGCGTATTCGGATATTGCGAATGACGTATATAATTTTTATTAAGAAAATTGAATTTCTTACTAAAAGAATCTAATAAACAGAAACTACAACAAATCACCCCAATACCATCATCAATACCAACACCGGCGTCGACACCCAATCCAAACCCATCAACGCAGCCAAATCAAACAGCCAATAATAACAACACCACCAACAGCATTCCAAACAACGTTTCGGCGATAAAACAACCGACGACCGCGTCAACCGGTGTACCTCCCCAACGAAAATCATCGGCTGATAACAACAACAAACCCCAACAACAATCAACACTCGTCACGCAACAACCGGTTATCGCGAATTTATCCCAAAAGCAACAACCGCCCCCAAACATCGTAAATCTACCAACGCCTTCGCCTTCTTCATCGGAAAAACCAAAACCGCTAGCATTACTTAACGATAATAATTCATATACAGACCCGTTAGAACAATCTTTGGCCAGTTTAGAACATGATGGGGTTAAACAGGAGTCGTTAGACGTTTTGCAACAACAGCATCATCAACAACAACAGGCGATCGTTGCGAAAGCTTTGTCTTCAACTTTAAATTGTGGTTTAAGTAATAATATGGTTTTACAGAATGTCGTAGCACAAGATATGAAAACGAATCATCCCGGCGGTTTGATGGGAATGAATTTATTACCGAATACGTTGATGCATATGCATCATCCAATGGACGCTGAATTACCGGTACCAAATTTACCAATGGGCGGCGGTAATCCAGCGCCCACGAATTTAATACATACGCATAACAACGGTTTCGGAATTAAACACGACTACGACAACTTGACCAACGCGGATAATAACGGGATGGGATCGTTGGGCGGATATCCGTTGGGGATGCCGTCGATGGCATCGATGTTCGATCCTATCAGTTTTAATAATGCGCCGCTTTTAAAAAAGGAACCGTTAATACACGCTAAACCAATCGAAGAGTTAACGGATCCCGTTCATCATCATCACAACATCGACAGGAAGCACACACCTCCTGAGCAGCAACAACAAAAACAAGCGGGAGCGGTTAGCGGATTTAAGCCGAAACAAGTGCAGCAGCAGCACCAGCAACAACAACAACAACAGCAGCAGCAGCAACAACAAGAGCCGAACGTAAAGAATGCGAGTTCTTGGTCGAGTTTAGCGCAACCGAGTCCACCGCAGAATAACACGTCAAGTAGCAGTAATAGTAAGCAGACGTTGATGGATAGTTTTAAAATGTTTCAAAATAAGGCGAAGGAGAAAGCCGATCGAGAAAAGCAACGCTTGGAAAATTTGGAGTTTAAGCGGCAACAAAAGGAGCAAGCAGAAAAGGAACGATTACGGGTGGAAAACGAAAGGAGAAGAGAGAAAGAAGAAGAGGACGCGTTGGAAAAAGCTAGGTTAGTAGCTAGTTCTTTGATTAATTAGTACATCTCAACTTTATAAATTCAATGCTTATAGAAGAGCTGTTGCCGAGCAACAACATGCACCTTTGCCATCATCAAGAGTCGAAGAGTTGAGGTCATCCCCTGGCGAAGGTAGCATTTCTCCGGGATCGCAGAGTTCCGGTTCAGATCGACAAATAGAAAGGGATAGGCAACGGTTACGAGAACAGGAACGAAGAAAACGGGAAGCAGTAAGTTTCTTTATTTGTGTGGTTATAATATTTAATTTAAAGTAATTTGGCTCAATAACAAAACTTGATGTATGGAAACCAACATATCAAGGAATTGTCTTCAATTTTATTGTAGTATGATATATGATGTACATGGTTTGTTTATATAACATAATTTAAATAACTATGCAATTATTTCTAATTATTAGGGCACGGAACTTTTGTAACGAAACGACACGATTTCCCCCCTCCACTCGTTCTCAGCAGAAAATTTCATACAAAAGATGTTCTAAATTAAATTCTAAAACAATTTTCTCAATACAAAATATATAAAAATTTTTTTGAGGCTATGTTCTTAATTATTGATCAAATCAAAAATTTTTATTAACAACATTTGTTTAGAATTACTTCAGGAACAGTGTTTGTTAATAAAATTTTTTGCTAACTTGAAATTTTAATTTCCCACTGAACAGTATGGTACAAAAATTAATATTTTTGAGGTTATATCCTTATTGTTGATTTAATCAAAAAATGTTGTTAACAAAATTTGTTTAGAATTACTTCAGGAACAGTGTTTGTTAATACAATTTTTTGCTAACTTGAAATTTTAATTTCCCTCTGAATAGTATGCTATCAAAATTAATTATCTCAATAATTATTGTTTTTATCAAAAAATGTTTTAAATAAAACTTGTTTCAATTTCGATTTTGAATCAATTATCTTAATAAAAAAATTTTACATCTCTATTAATTAAACATCTAAGTATAATTATGTAGAAAAACGGAAAAATTATTATTTTGAGCTTATCTCCTTAATTATTGATTAACTCAAAAAATTTTGTTAACAAAGTTTGTTTAGAATTGTTTCAGGAACAATTTTTGTTAAAACAATTTTTTTTTAACTTGAAATTTTAATTTCCCACTGAACAGTATGCTGTTTTTTTAATCAGAACGAGTGGAGGGGGGAAATCGTATCGTTTTGTTACAAAAGTTCGGTGCCCTACTAATTATATCTTTGTATAAAGATAATAGTTACAATTAAGATTAACTAATTTTATTGTAATAATATTTTAGTTGGCAAATCAAATAGACATGAACATGCAAAGCGACTTAATGGCAGCGTTCGAAGGATCCTTATAGTGAAAGGTTGAACGATGAGTAGCGACAACGACGATGACGAGAAAAGGCTTCCAGTACACACACAATGACGACTCAGACGATGACTACGCGAGAGGATGAAGAAAAGAAAAACTACCAAGTATCCGATTTAACATTAAAGAAAAACACAAAAAAAGTTTTCTACGAATCGTTCATTAATTAATTATGTCTTTGATTACAATAAGTAAGTTTATTAGCAGATGTTGTAAATAGCGTTATTCACTTTTCGGTTTATAACGTCAATACTTCCCAAAAAATTTAAGAATAATAATATAAAAATATAAATTGAATCGTTAAATGGAGAATAAAAATAAAAAAAAATAATAAAACTCGCGTTAAAAATATTAATTGTACATAAAAACAGATTATTATAAAACAAAGTTCTTTTTTTTTGGGAAGTGAATGAAAACCGTTGAAATGTGTGGAAATTAAGTAATTTTTAAGATTTATTTTATAAAACTACAACAATTATGGGTAAAAAAGAAAGATAAACAATTTAATAAATAAAATTGTAATAATAAATTATTATTATTATGTTTTTAGTTTTCTTTTTTTTATAATAATGTTTATATTAATTTAAATTTTAGTTAATTTCGGAGAAATGAAAAAATATAGAAACAAAAAAAAATTAAATTAAAAAAAATTAAACGTAGATACGCCCATAAGCTTGTAGTTGGTAAGTGATATTACAAATTGTATAGTAATTTATATATCCGTATGTATAAAAAAAAATAATAACAAAAGTTTAATAATTATTTATCAGGAGAAGTGTTTTTTCGAAGAGAAAGTCAAGATTTATTGATTTTCAAAGAAAACATCGTAAGCGGTGTGCATTTTTGTACGTTATAACGAGCCAATTGCTCGCGATTTATGTTTTAAAGAAGATATTAAAAGAAAAATTAAAGAAGTTTAAATAAACTTTAAAAAACAAACAAGAATATGAAGCATAGAAAAAAAATTTTTACAATCTAGGTATTTAGTCCTAAGAAGAATTGTCGAAGTTGATTAAAAACTTTGTTTTATTTTATTTCGTTTTTGAGGTTAAAAAATTGTAAATAAATAAAAATATATTATTACTATTTTAATAGAAATCATGTTTATATTATCTTCCATTTATTTTTCTTTCTTTTTAGTTATCTAGAAGGTACTTTAATTTTTACTTTAAAAATATAAATAAATAAAAGACCTATTAACATAAATATAAACAATGTTTTTAATCAATCGAGATAACTTGATTTACTTCAAAATGTACATAGTTTTATATGTAGGTATCTGTTATTTTTATATTGCCCCCCTTTTCCTCCCTTATATATACTTGCATATATATAAATATTAAAATAAAACATTAGCAACTTTTATTTTACTACAAAGAACATAAAATAAAAACCATACTCTGATTAATTAAATAAAACGAAAATTTAAGACAAAATTGAAAAAGTTTTGCTCTGGCGCCACTTTTACTTTAAGCAAAATTGAATTTAAAGAGTTAATTCTCTCGTACTTTGTCCAATCCATTTGCAACTTTATTGTTAAGAAGAAATTAATTATGTATGATAAGCTCATTCCCTCACTCCCGTTTTCTCAATTTGCTACAAAAAATGGGAGGAGAGATGATGATTTTCTAATTTTATTGTTGTTTTCACGTAAAGAAAGGAAGAAATAAATTAATTTTAATTTAAAATGAAATGAATCACTAATCAATGAACCAACCTAAACCCCCCTTATTCGTTATCATGTTGTTTTTTCTTTTTTTTATTTAATATGTATTATAATTTATAATGTATGGCTGTTAATTTTTTTTTTCATTAATTTTTAATAATAGAAGTCATAAATAGTGATGTTTAGAAATAAAATATTAAAAGAAAAGTATCAAGTCTTTTTATTTAAATCATAAACCTAATTATTCATATATTATGTCACCAACAGGATAATCTATTTGATAGATACACAATTTCAAGAGAAATAGAAAATGAATTGATGTTCAGATTAATTTGGAGCTAATTTAGGTAAGACATTTTTATTTAATCCAGTATTTAATGAAATCATTTTTTAATTTCAGCCTAACATGAAAGATACCGAATCTCGACCTACCGAATTTTTATACTTCAAGAGAAAAGTAATTCCAACTTGTAAATTAAATTATTGCTAACTAATTACAATACAGAATTATCAGCCATTTGAGAACCATGTTGATACTATATCGTAATAAATAGGATTATTGTGGCATATATTAGTTATTTTGAAACTGTGTCGAAGCTCTGTTAGTTTAATCAATAATACTGACTAATTTTTCTCATTAAGTTACTTTTAAATTTAAAAATTTTCAAAATAGCGCCATCTCGAGTTATTCCACAGAATTTCAATGAATCACTAAATTAAGAAATTGCTCTATTATCATCAAAACAAAGCTTTCCTAAATCGCCGCTAAAGTAGATAACTACTAACTATGACGTTCGTGACTATGTTCACTTTGGATCATTTCGGTCCTATTAAGTGCCATGGGAAATTTATTTAGCAATATCAAAAATAACTATGATACAATTAATTTTATTAAAACCGTTAATAATTAATACTTCATTTAGAAATTAAATATTAAAAGATAATTTTTTGTTATAAAATAGTAAAATTGACGTTTACCGGCTTCTTCAGCGGTGGCGCCACCACACCACAACACACCACGATTTGTTAAAACGTTAGATTTTAAACCGTTTTCTCGCGATTTCAATTAAAAATATCGTCTAAAATGTAACCGTTTTCAAAAAATTTTTCCGATCGACGACCCATCGAACGGCCTTCGCCCCCGGCATGCGTGCCCGTTCGATGAAATAACGCGTTTCCGCGAAAGTGTTTGGCGGGCTTTGGTAAACAGTTGTGCTAATGGCTGAAGGTGTTCGCTCACGTCTCCAACGATTTCAACCCGTTTAAACACTAAAACAAGGGGACCGTCTAATTTTACGTAAGTATTCGCTTTCGATTAAACTGTTGTTACCATTTCGAAGTGATTACGTGGTCACTAAATATATTAACCTTCAATAGATCACAATTTTGAAGAAACCGTTTGATTTTGTTAACTAAATATGTTTTCTAGTTAAAGAATGAGTTTATCGGGGAATGTTCGCGTCAAGCGTAAAGAGACGGCGAACGAAGAATCCGTCGTCGTGCCAGATTCGACGACGATCGTTGAAAAAGACGCCACTTCCTCGAAATGGGACTTCGCCCCTGGACAAGACGTTCTGCTCAAACAGAAGGATGGTCGATTTTATTTGGGTACCATAGTTGAGGTGGATCCCATTAGGGAACAATGTTTGGTTAAATTTGGCGACGACACGGATAGTTGGAGTGGATTCAAGGATCTGACGAAACTGAGCGCTCCCGAACAAGAAGTTTTATGCGTCATTTGTAAAAAATCCGCCCCAAAGAACAAGCATGAGGTGACTGTTTGCGATAAATGTGGTAGGGGTTATCATCAGAAGTGTCATCAACCAGAAATACCTAATATTTGTCAGAAGGAAGGTGGTGGATGGGTTTGTCGAAGGTGTATTCAACAGGAACCATTGTTACGTCAACGCCGTCCTGCTGATTTTAAAGGTCAGCAGCAAAGAAGGGATTCTGTTAGAAAAATTTGTTCCAATTCTGAAACTATTAGAAAAACATTGCCTTATAATGTAAGTATCGTGTGATGAACATTTTTGTATATTAATAACCATACTTGCTGAATTAAAATAACTTTAATTATATGATTTGTTCTAGATTGATGATTTAACTTGGGACACATATCATAGAGTGAATTCCGAGCAACTGTATTGTTACTGTGGCTCTAATGGCGAGTGGTATACGCAAATGTTACAATGTGGCCGCTGTAGACAGTGGTTTCATGAGCGATGCATTGGCCCTTGCCTCCAATATCCATTGTACTGTGGTGATCGTTTTTACGTCTTCGTCTGTTCCGTTTGCAATCAAGGCGTGGAATTTTTGCGACGTTTGGAATTGAAATGGGTCGACCTGGTGCATTTGATGCTTTTCAATCTTACCGCTTATAACAGCAAGAAGTATTATGATTTAGACACCATTATTGTGCCATATATTAATGATAATTGGCATGCTTTACAATTACCACCAAAGGTAATAATATATTTTATTAATATACTTGTCAATTAATTAATTTATTAAGACTTATTTTATTAAGTTGATGAAGAGGTTATTGATTTGGTTATTATTTTTTTTATTAGGTAAGGAGGTTATATTGACTCATGCAACGAAAACTGTAGTAACTCAACTTTTATTACAATATCTAGTGATTTAGAAAATGTGTATTAATTTTTATGTAAATACAAATTTGTATGTGAGTCATATTTTTTAATTTTTTTGATTTTGATTTTAATGAGTTACTACAGTTTTCGTCGGAATTACTTATTTTGGCTAAATAATATATTGAAAATCTCTATAAGACATTTATTTATTTCTCTATATTACATTTTCAAACATAATTAAAAAAGAACACTTTTTATTCGCAATTACTGTCACTGCCTTCATCAGATTCTTTCCTCTTTGATTCCACCTTAGTCGTTTTGGCGTCTTTCGATTTCAGAGAAAAAAAGAAATTGGTATATTGTAGGTATATCTGGTTCATCGCCTCTGCACAACTCCAATAATCCACTCAATTTTTACGAGTTGATGGGAAGGGGGCGTGATCCTGGATTCGCCTATGCCGCTTTTTTTATTAGATGTGTTGTCTTTGCCGTTTCTTGATAGGTATATTTAAACAAAACAAGATTGGGACTATCTGGTGAGCATGTTAACTCTCTAATCTTGTTTAATTTTACTTGTTCGCGATTTTCATCAATTTTCCAATTTTAATTCTTTACCATATTAGAAAAACTATCAAAATCAGTTTGTGACATTTTCTTCACTATACAGGGGTGATTCACATAAGAACCGACACAGAACAGGGACATGTAGAGGACAACAAATTAAGACGATTTAACACAACTTATCTCTATACTAAGTTGTACTCCTGAGGAGTTGTAGGCCTTTAAAGTTGGGTCTTAAATTTTTAAAACATTGAATATCTTCGTAATACATTAAGTTAGAAAAACCAAATTTGGTATACGTTATGAGTGTACCGAGGGTATTAATTGGTAGCAAATTGAGACCAATTGAGGCATTTGAAAGGGTTGATTATGGGTGATGGTCCCCTAAATTTTGACAGATTTTTTTAACCTTTTGGTGGATTTAACACATTATTACCTGATTTAATGTGGAATTTAATTCTAAAACTTTTTCTACTCTTATTATTTTTTAAAAAACATTGTCGTTTTCATAAAAAACTCAAATAACTAAAGACACGAATTTCGTTAATGCTACTTAAAATCATCTAAAATTCAGTAGTCGGCTGTGAAATTGTACGTCAAACTTGACAAATAGGTTATAAAACCTTGTCGTCAAATAACTTTAAACCTATTTGTCAAGTTTGACGTACAATTTCATAGCCGACTACTGAATTTTCGCTTATTTTAAGTGACATTACGAAATAAGTGTTTTTAGTTATAGTAGAAACCACGAGAGCTGGCAATGACAGGTCGCTTAAAAATGGTATGAATCAAGATATGGACGTACGACTTATTATGGAGGTTATATGTCAAACATTGTCAAAGATATTATTTAATGATTTTCCTTTCAAAGAAAACATTTTCGGTTTGTGAAAACACTAACAGATTCATGACAACGCTCACAAGACGTTTCGATTTGAGGTTATAATTATAGAGTTACATCCCTTAGAAGAACAGACGTACTTTTTCGACGTGTCATTTGAATTGTACAGCAGACATATTAAACTAATGCTATCTCTTTCTAACACACATTACTCTCTAGCGGTTTGTGAACTACGTATGGCATTTGTAAGAGCGGAAAATGATGATTTACTGCCAGCTCTCGTGGCATTAACGAAATTCGTGTCTAGTTATTTAAGTTTTTTATGAAAACGACGACGATTTTTAAAAAATAATAAGAGTAAGAAAAGTTTTAGAATTAAATTCTACATTAAATGAAGTAGTAATGTATTAAATCCGTCAAAAGGTTGAAAAGATCTGTCAAAGTTTAGGGTACCATCACCCTTAACCCTTTGAAATGCCTCAATTGAGTTCAATTTGCTACCAATTAATACCCGTGGTACACTCATAACGTATACCAAATTTGGTTTTTCTATCTTAATTTATTACGAAGATATTAAACTTTTTAAAAATTTAAGAGCCAACTTTGAAGGCCTATAACTCCTCAGGTGTACAACTTAGTATAGAGGTAAGTTACTTTAAATCATCTTAATTTATTGTCCTCTACATGTCCCTGCTCTGTGTCGGTTCTTATGTGAATCACCCTGTATAGGGCTTACCGGTTACTTTAGCTATTTTTATTAAAGTAATCCATTGACTGAGTATAGATTACACTTTGTCGCCATCACTTTCATTTTGGATATGTCCTTTTTCTAAAAATCGGTGCGTTATATTAATTTCAAAAACGTTAGCAGCATAAGCAAACATAGAGAAAATATAACGATTTCTGTTTTGCCCTCCACTATTGTCAGAATAGAGGAACACTTTGTTGACTCCCTTTTCCTTTTGTTTTTTCAGAAAGTGTAACAAACAGCTACTTATTTCATTTGGGCCTCATTTTGCAAACTCTTGGTACCAAATATAGCAGTTTCCTTGATTATTGCCCATGTCATAAATTGTAAAATTGTATGTGGCAATTTTGCTTTTGTAATAAAATGTAATTTTATTACTCAAGTGCATATCGTATTTTTTTGCATTTTGGATTTTGCATTTATCTGCTTAAAAAACCTATATTAAATTTGGAATTCAAAATTTTACGATTACATCTCGGGGTTGCTATTTTTGCTACAGGTTCTGAATTCTTTTTAACATATTCAGTGTACATGCAATACATTTTTGAGATATTTAGTCCCTTTTGCAAATACATTTTGCTTAATGTGTCTTCTCACGCTGTCTTTGAGACCATCTTTAACTTTCTGAGGCCTTACGTTGTGACATATGCGCTTATCTTCTTCTACAGTTCAACTTTATCGGATTTTCTTCAAAACAGTTGTCACCCATGTCTCCAATATGTATTGCGAAACATTGTTTTACAAATTATAACAATAATATAATCCCATTGTTTTGTGAAGTCTCCTAACTTCCAAAAGTTCTGAAATATTTTGTTCCTTTGGTCTTCATCAAGTTTCTATCTTCACTTATTTCTACAGTTTTTTTTGCATGAGACTCCCATTTTTCTAGACGCAATAACAATGCCTTTTCTATTTTCGTGTTTAATTCTTAAATTAGTTCTCTCTTAGCTGTTTTGTCTATCCAATTATTTTCATTACGTATGCGTTTTCTACCTTGTTTTACTTTTAATGTCATCCTTCGCTTTTTCGTAGTTACCACATAATCAGGATCAACATCCGAATAATTGTAGTTTTCTATCTCGTAATTAGAAGTACATTTTTCCTTCATGAAATTGATTAATTTATCGCATACTGTCTCTATATTTACCGGTAAAAAAGTTTCTGTTTGATTTTTTATATCTTAGCTTGAGGGAGCATCTTTGCTGTTACAGCTATCCTGTGATTTAGTTACATCTGATCCTGTTCATATACAGGGTGATTCACATAAGAACCGACACAGAGCAGGGACATGTAGAGGACAATAAATTAAGATGATTTAACGTAACTTATCTCTATACTAAGTTGTACACCTGAGGAGTTATAGGCCTTCAAAGTTGGCTCTTAAATTTTTAAAAAGTTCAATATCTTTGTAATACATTAAGCTAGAAAAACCAAATTTGGTATACATTATGAGTGTACCAAGGGTATTAATTGGTAGCAAATTGAACTCAATTGAAGCATTTCAAAGGGTTGATTAAAGGTGATGGTACCCTAAATTTTGACAGATTTTTTTAATCTTTTGGCGGATTTAATACATTACTACTTCATTTCATGTGGAATTTAATTCTAAAACTGTTCTTACTCTTATTATTTTTTAAAAAACTTTGTCGTTTTCATAGAAAACTTAAATAACTAAACCCACGTATTTCGTAATGTTGCTTAAAATAAGCGAAAATTCAGTGATCGGCTATGAAATGGTACGTCAAACTTGACAAATAGGTTATAAAGTTATTTGACGACAAGGTTTTATAACCTATTTGTCAAGTTTGACGTACAATTTCATAGCCGACTACTGAATTTTAGATGATTTTAAGTAGCATTAACGAAATTCGTGTCTTTAGTTATTTGAGTTTTTTATAAAAACGACAATGTTTCTTAAAAAATAATAAGAGTGGAAAAAGTTTTAGAATTAAATTCCACATGAAATCAGGTAATAATGTGTTAAATCCACCAAAAGGTTAAAAAAATCTGTCAAAATTTAGGGGACCATTACCCGTAATCAACCTTTTCAAATGCCTCACTTGGTCTCAACTTGCTACCAATTAATATCCTCGGTACATTCATCACGTATACAAAATTTGGTTTTTCTAACTTAATGTATTACGAAGATATTCAATGTTTTAAAAATTTAAGACCCAACTTTGAAGGCCTATAACTCCACAGGAGTACAACTTAGTATAGACATAAGTTATGTTAAATCGTCTTAATTTATTGTCCTCTACATGTCCCTGTTCTGTGTCGGTTCTTATGTGAATCACCCTGTATATTAATTGTACATAATGACAGAAAGAGAACTAGTTTGTTATGTACTCACTACAATTAGTGTAGTAATTCATTTTTTGTAATTCGCGACGGATATGAAAACTCTAACAGTACTCAAATGGGTGTTGTAATGAGACTCCTTACAGCATCCGATGCTGTAATGAGATTTTAGTAATATTTTATGGAACCAGTTCAAGTTGGTGACATTGGGTCATTAATTTTTCTAGTTGTCAATGTGACAATTTTTGTCTATGGATGTTTAAACATGTTCTTAGCATCGAATACAAGGTCCCAATGATGAGGATATTGAACACTGAGCTTTCTCTTATTTTGGGAGGTGTAGATGAAACATTTTTTTCAGATCATCACTTCAAATTGTCATTTTCAAGTGTTACGGTGTTACCAACTGCTGCATACCTATTTCTCTACATTGTCAAAATTTATTTAAATTTTTGTTAAAAAAAAAGGATAAAAACGCGGATTACAAAAAATAGCATAAAAAACACGTTTCATAAGACTTAAAGCACTCATTCATTAAAAAAACTCGTGGCTTCGCCACTCGTTTTTCAACATGAATTCGTGCATTTCAAGCGTGTCTTACGAAACTTGTTTTTTAATATACTATTACACTACTTCAATCCAAACATACACAAATCAGAATTAACGGAAAGTAAACCTCAAAATTTGACAAGTGGCGCAAAGAAGCGAGATTTCCTACTGATTAAGCAACAAAGACTGTAGTAATTCAACTTCTGATAGGTTACTCGGGAATATTAATTCACAGCTTTAATTTCAACTACAGTAACTCAACTGTAGCGTGTTGTGGCAGCAGCTCCATTTAAAAACATAAAATTGTATTTCATTTGTTATTATTTTTATATTTGCACACAATTGTTTTTGAAGCAAAACATAACGGACGCAAAATAAAAAGTCTACCAAAAAGTTAATTTTACTATTATGTTGGCTAATACATCATAGCCACGTTGTAAGCCATGTTATTAATTTTTATCATAGATTTTTACCGAACATTTCTAATATTTTATCACCCCTTCATAATCTTTCATCATCGCTTTATTCAATTAAACAAAAATTAATAACATCTTGGTCAGATGAACATGAAATTTCCTTCGCAACAGCTAAAGATCTTCTAACGAAATCTACCGTTCTGGCTCATCCATCTCCTCACGCTTCGCTGTTACTTACCACAGACGCTTCTAATACAGGTATAGGAGCAGTTCTGAGCCAAATTATTGATGAAACACCGCAACCATTAGCATTTTATTCACATAAACTTTCTCCAAGTCAAGTTAAATATTCAACGTTCGACAGAGAGCTATTGGCAATATATTCTGCCATAAAATTTTTTAATCATTTCCTACACGGAAACAATTTTACAGTTTTCACCGACCACAAACCTATAACTACGGCAATATTTTCATCAACAGAAAAAACACCACGACAAACCAGGTACCTAAATTACATAACACAATATACATCCGATGTGAGATACATTAAGGGAAATTCCAATATTGTTGCAGACGCTTTGTCCAGGACAAATATTGAATCCCTAAATTCTCAGTACCCCGACACACTTACACTTTACAAAGCTCAAGTCACAGATATCGAATTGTCGAACCTACTACATAAACAATTTTCTCACACTCACACTACAACACCCTATCAGTTATTGCTACAACCCACAACGCTACCTGATATCAAATTATGGTGTGAAATATCAACGGAATCTCCGCGAATCTACATTCCGCAGCAATTTAGAGAAATAGTTATACAAAAATTTCATGGTTTATCTCACCCTGGCATTCGAGCAACCATTCATTTAATAAAAACAAAATTCTTTTGGCCTCATATGTCGAAACAAATTCGTATTTGGACAAAATCATGTTTACAATGCCAGAAAGTTAAGATACAAAGGCATACAAAATCGCCAATTCTCAAAATCAAAGTTCCAAAAGTTCGATTTGAACACATTCACATTGATTTGGTTGGCCCACTTGTTCCATCTCTTGGATGTACTTATCTGCTCACAGTCATTGAGCGTTTCACACGGTGGCCAGAGGCTTTTCCTCTAAAAGATATCTCTGCAGCCTCTATTGCAGATACTCTTTTCAGGCATTACTTCAGCCGTTTCGGTATTCCTACCATGATCACTCACGATCAAGGACGACAATTCGAATCACTATTATTTTCAAAATTCCAATTATTTTTAGGTACTCATCAAATACACACATCTGCTTATCACCCACAAAGTAACGGTATGATTGAACGATTTCACCGTACTTTGAAATCAGCGATTATTGCTCGAGGTAATTCTACTAGATGGAACAATGACTTGCCTTTGATTCTCCTAGGTCTCAGGTCATCCCTAAAGGAGGATTTAGGTTGCTCATCCGCTGAATTGGTTTATGGTCAGCAACTCAGATTACCAGGAGAATTTTTCTTACCTACCGAACCATCAATTGAAACTGAACCATTATTATCACGTTTAAAATCATCTTTTGCTGACATTAAACCAGTTCAGTCAACCATACATTCCAGCCAAAAACCTTTTGTTCACAAAGAATTATTCAGGTCAAACTTTGTATTTGTTAAAATTACTGGAATTAAACCTACGTTGTCTCCTAGGTACGAAGGTCCCTTCAGAGTGTTGAAGAGATTTTCAAAATTTTTCGTTGTATTGAAAGACAGTAAAGAAATAAATGTAAGCCTCGATTTGCTGAAACCGGCTTTCTTTCTGAACGAAAACGTTTCTCCTGAAGTCAACAATTTAATAATTAATAAAACTAAAAAAGTACATTTTAAATTTTAATTCAAATTTTTGACTAAATGTTATCCCTCTTTCTTTTCTTTCTTTATAGGAGGGGAAGTGGATGTAGCGTGCTGTGGCAGCAGCTGCATTTAAAAACATAAAATTGTATTTCATTTGTTATTATTTTTATATTTGCACACAATTGTTTTTGAAGCAAAACATAACGGACGCAAAATAAAAAGTCTGCCAAAAAGTTAATTTTATTATTATGTTGGCTAATACATCATAGCCACATCAACATAAGATCTTTTAGAAAAAATACTACTCAGTTTGACTTATGATAAACTCAATTCTGTATGTTTAGTTGTATTTATGTTGTTAGAAGTTACAACAGCTTACCACGTAAAATTTTACGCACACAACAGTTTAGAAAACAGTCGTAACTCAATTTCACTAAAAAATGAGTACCTACAGTTTTTGTTGCATGTTGTTGTAATGTTAGGTTGTGGATTGTTATCTGCAGATGATTTTTGGGTGGGTTTTAAATAATAATTCAGTATTTAATCAATACTTTAATTAATAAAGTAACATTATTTACGAATTAAGTTTGTTCTTTCAGATTTTTAACGTGTCAAAGTGTGAAAGAAGAGAAAACATCTTATCCGTCTTAACCAATAATCGGAATCGATTCAAATGTGGCCGGGAAATTAAAAAACGGACAACGATCTGGGGCCTTAGGTAAACAATACATTGTTTTTCTTTTCTTCTTAAGTTATATAAACTAACGTAAATAGGATAAGACTTCCACCGCCTGCACCCTGCGTAACACTCCCATTAAACGGTCCGATCGTCGAAGACGACCTAAGGGAGCGGTGGCAGGGTAACCGACGGCTGCAATTCCTACCTACGCAACAGATCCAGTCCACCGCTCAACGAATCGTCCCTACAGATAACCAAATGTTGAACGTTATGAAAGGCTTAGCGTACCAACAAGATGGCAACGGAATCCAAAGCGAAACAGAATCGCCTTGTCCTAGCCCGGATGAAAGTCCTCTCGATACAAAATTATTCAAAGTCGAGTACGGGGGTGGTTGCGCCAAACGAAGCGTTCCGTTTCCAAAGACGACAGCTTCGCTTAGTAAACAAAAGAAAAGGATGATTGCGCGCGATAAAATGTTGAGGCGACAACAGAGGAGAAAAAACGACGGAAAACGAAAGACGAGAACGTTAAGCTTTGGGGCAAGCGGAGAAAGCGGTGGTGGAGGCAAGAGAAGAGGAAACGAAGTGTTGCCTTTAACGCCTCCTACATCGGTTTCAGCACCGCCAACACCCCCAGCGGGGTCTTCGTTGTTTCTCGATTCAGATTTCGCCGAAATGGGGGTTCTATCAACATCGAAACGGGATAAAAAGAATTTGATTAGTAGTTTAGATACGCCTTGTGATACTTCCGGTGATGAGACGTCGTCGAAAAGTACTTTGGATTTGATTATTCCGCCCCCAAAAGATTTTGAAGGTAATTATTAAAATATTAATTTAAACGAATACCAATTAATTATTTATTTTATTAGGTAAAAACAATCCATTTTTAACCTTAATGAAAACTTGCGAAACTGTCGGTAAAAAACGTCGGAGTAGAGATATAACACTCCCGTTACCGCTAACCGCGGTAATTCCCGTCGTACGCACGATGAAACGTCAACTAAGCGAAAAAGATATATGCATTGGTCCAAACGGCGAAGTAAAACGACGCCGTTTACGACGAAATCGAGCCGTCAACGCCGCCATCCCAATCTATCAAACCGCTAGTAAAACCGCCACCGTTCTGCCCGTACGCACAGACGCCAAAGAATGGGGCCAACGCAACTTACGATCCGTCAACAATCAACCACAAACAACAACGACCGCCGGAAGCGGAAATTCGCCTCAATCGATGTCCAATTGCGTTGATTACGCTTTGAACGGCCGTCGACAGTTGCGGCAACGTCAACAAGATCGGACGAACGTCGAAAAGGATAAGATTATGATGCCGTCGTCCAACACGTCAGTATCAAATCCATCTACGCCAAAGCCGAGTCCCGTTAAACAGGAATCAGATATCAGTATGGACGATTTGAAGAGTTCGGTGAATAGTTATTTTGGCGCGGGAACGCGGATCGCCGCTGGCGAACGGTTCAATGTGAAAGCGAAGCGAATCGGACCAACAGGGAAAATGGAATATTTAATTGAGTGGGAGGGACCTGGTAATGGGATGACTTGATTTCGAATTAAGATCGGTTAGTTTTTCACTTTTTTAATTAAATCTTTGTAATATAGTATCGAAAGTAATGCATTAAAAAATCAAAAAAGAATTTAAAATATTAACGCATTACTTTATGGATTACTTGTACATAATTTCGATTAGACGAAAAACGCGAAAAGAAGATTTTTTAATTCTTGTTGGGCATTACTAGGTTCCTAATAATAGAGAAAACGTAAGAATGAAATAAGTGAGAAAAAGGGATGAATGAAGAAAGGCGAGGAGAAGAAGAATGAAGATTGTTGTGATATATTACTTGAAATCGCGCTTTTGGAATTTTAGACGGTGAGTAGTTTTTTTTGTTTCCGTTTTTTTATAATGGAACCACAAATCGTTGATTACTATTGAATACCATTCAGGATACACCATACAAAAAAAATATAAATAAAACCTGTTATATAGTTTTTTATACACAATAATAATAATCATAAATGATAATAAAAACAAATTAAACGGCGTGTGAGTTAAATTAAACAAGGTTAATTATTATTGAAGTGAGGCTGTAAGAAATATTTACGAATCACAAAGGCGATTTATTGGTTGGTGGCTTTATTTTGGAATTTTCGTTTATATTTTTAACAATTTATCATTTTAATTTTCTAACCGGCCTTAAAAAAATATCTTTCTACATTTTATTACAATCTAACTTGTTGATAACTTGTTCATTTATAAACGAAAATTTAAGTGGCTTATTTTAAGGTGTCTTATGAACGTTATTTTGTTATAATTTCGTTATAAGTTGTTAAGAGCCTAAGGGAAAAGGATGATTTAAAAAGAAATATACAAGGTGTTTAAAAAAAGATGCAAATGTTTTCTAGGTAATTTAATTTTTAATTTGGATACAATTATTGTAATCCTAAGCAATTTTCGCGAAACTGCCAAATAATCCAATATAATGAAAAACACTGCCACGGTTTTTTTATTTATTTAATTTAAAAAGAGAAATGTATAAATCTTTTATGAAATCTTAGAAAGATGATTTTTTTTTCTGTTTGTAAAAAAAACTAGTGTAATTTTATTTTTTAATTTATCGAAACTATTAACTTTATTCGACTGTCCTTTAGTGTTCATTGTTTAAAATAATTAACGACGCGTCAAAGTTATACAAAAAAATGATTTTGTCAAAGAAATCTATATTAAGCAAGAAAAAAAAAACTAATTGCAAAAGAAGAAACGTAATAAGCGTATAAAATTGTTGTGATATACTATTTACTTTCGTTTTATTATTATTTTTTTACAATAACCGTCGTAGTAAAAAAACGATTTTATTATTATTTATAACAAGAAGAGACTGACGTCTATCTGTAAACAAATAGACCGTTTTAACTTCGTTTTTACTTCACTATATTCCCGTTGTTTATATTATATATATACTATATTTTTTTGCTTCATACTTCTTCAAAAAAAAAACAAAAAAAATTAATGTTCTGTAAATATATCTATTATTTTATTGTGTTAGGTACCCAAAAAAAGCAAACAAAGGATTGTTTTGAATCCAAATTTGTATTTTTATTGTCCGTTAAGTAAAAATAAAGCAAATCTCTGGTACAAAAAAATTTTATTTGTCTTTATTACCTATCCAATAAACTTATACACACTCACTATTAGATCAACGAAAATCTGGTTAGCTGAACTCACATTGAATTCACGAAGTAGCAAAGTGATCAAGGACAATGTTAGATGATATCGTTCATTTGATGTTTTATAATCTGTTTTTTATTTAAATCAATTGTCAAAGTGTCGTCAAGTTGGTATTGAAAGTAAAAGCGCATGTCGTGACTTTTACTTTAATTGTGTGCCACCACTGTCTATCAAATTTGTTAAGATTGATTAAAAAACAATTTTCATATAATTTTTTTGCTGCTAAATCTAACATAAAAATGTTAAGAAAGGGTGGAACGGGATGTCAACTGGAAAATGTTGACACAAAAATGACTGGTAAATTGAAAAAAAAATTTATAGTGTTGTTTTTTTAAATGTTACATATATTTTAACTATTAATAGACTCTTAGTGAAGTTTATGAAGTCTTTGGTGTTTTATAATAGCTACTGCGCGAAATAAATTGCTATTACAATTACCTTATTTTGTATAAGGAAATTTTTTAGAAAACGACACAACTTTAGAAAACAA